AGATAAATAAGATAGTGGACTGTTGTTTAATGAAACTGCGAATAAAAAGGCCAGTTATTTATTCAAACTTAACGTGTCTCTTGTTGCTTGTGTTCTCAGAGGACCAGCTTCTCTTTCCAAAACCGGATGATCTCTCCCCTCCGTCTCTTCTTCCGCCAAAGCCGCCCTCTCTTCCGAAAGATCCGCCTCTGGGTCCTGCGCTTGCCTTCTTCTCTGACATCTGTGCTCTGATTGGTCTGTCCATGTAGGTTATGTTGGAGTTAATAAGCTTCTGTGCCTCCTGGTCTGACTCGAACGATGCGAATGCGAATCCCTTGGGTCTTCCTGTTTCTCTGTCTTCTGGGATTCTCAGCTGCTTGATGTCTGCGTATCCCTTGAGGTGGGAGAGGAAGTCGTCCTTCTCTACGTCAAAGGGAATGTTTCCGAGGAAAACTGTGTGCTCTCCTGCTCTGCTGTTGTTGTTGTTTCTTGCGCCCTCTGGTCCGTTTCTTGGCCCAGACTTTGCGAGATCCACAATGATGGTTCTTCCTCCGAACTCTGTCTCGTTGAGCTCTTCCTTGCTCTTGATGCACGACTCTTTGTTGTCAAACTCAACGTATCCGAATCCTTTGCCGTTGACTCCGTCTCTATTCTTTGGGATTCTGACTTCGGTGATGTTTCCGAATTTGCCGAAAAGATCCTTCAAGTCTTCCTCTGTTGCGTTGAAGCTGATGCCCTTGATGAAGACTGTTCTGTCGTCCTTGGACTCTTCTGGCTCTGCCTGCTTCTCGCTCTCTGCGGATGCCTCCTCAGATGCTTCTTCTTCAGATCCGGTTTCAGTTGGGGACTCTGATGCCTCGGATGCTGAGTTGTTGGATGACTGGTCGTCGGATGCGGTCTGCTCCTCTGACTCTGCTCCGCTGGATGCTTCCTCGGAGCCAGAGCCTACTACTTTGTCTTCCTCAATAATTTTTTCTTCTTTTTTATTTTGTGTCTTTCTTACTGCCATTGCAAGGGTGCTTTTTTTGCAGAATTTTTTATTTTATAGTTAAAATTTTCAGCAGAAATTTGCGCTGCAAAATTTTGGACAAATTCATTTGTGCTTTCTGGCGTAAATTAAATCCCGCGCAGTGCATTTGATGCTCTCCCGCTATTCAATAAATTACTATTTTACTCCAGCAACCAAGCTTCATCGATGCACCAATAAAACTTAGAATGAACTAAGAGAGCAGTAACTAATAACACAGACTAATATTTATTATACTAACCGCCTCTGCAAACTTCAAATATTTATAGCATATTTCTTTTATTAACCAGCTAGTCTGAACGCAAAGACCTTCTTTATTTCTGGAATAAGAGAAGCTCTGACCGTTGAGAAAAGGTGCAGAGTAGATCTATCCTTTCTGACGATGGAGGAAGAGTCAGCACTGCACTCCTCTGAAAGGCGCAGTTCTCCTGTTACTCCGTAGTACGGGAGATATACCTCTATCTTCTCTTTGCTTATTCCTATTATCACAAGATTAACTGTATTGCTAGCTATTAAGTATCTAACGTACAGATCATTTGCGTGTCTAGAGACCCATTTGGCAGATCTATACGACCGATTGACAGAGTCGCAGATGGCCTCCAGTGTACTCTCCGTCACTGGCCCGTATCTGTCGTTATTTATTGCATGTGTTAATATCCTGTGAACAATCACGTCTGCGTATCTTCTGATTGGAGAGGTAAAATGCGTATAGTTGTGCATGGCTAGACCGTAGTGGAGCTTAGAGCCTATGGAAGATGGAGCATACACAGCCTGTGTCATGCACTTTGTGGCCCATGCCCCTATTGCGCTCTTAAGCTCTGGAGAGCTCGAGTATTTTTTGATAGTTGCTGACAGCTCGGATGGATTATTTGGGTCAAGAACAATGGGAGAAGAGGAGAGAAAAGAGAGAGCATTCTCTAGCTGTTTAAATGCCAGGGCCGCAGGGCGCGGATGCACTCTGATGAGAGACTCTTTTGGGTAGACTGATGAAATATACTCAGCTACGTGCTGGTTAGCCAGCAGCATAAACTCTTCTACAAGGGAGTGCGTGTCGTGCTCTTCACCATGGTCCTCCTCTGAGATGATGTGCTCCCTTGGGTTTTCAGCTATCTCTGAGAAGTATTTATTATTTCTAGCAGAGATTCTGCACTCGTCTGAGTGTATGACAAATGCTCCTGTTTCGAGACGAGCCTTTTTGAGGAGAGTAGATGCTTTCTTGAGAATCCGAAGAGACTCGATTAGCTCCTGTGATTTATATCTGCCTGTCTCCAGCACAGATGATGCTTGGTCGTAGGTGAACGACTCTTTTGACCGGATGATTGTCTTGGCAAATCTTCGGCTGATGAATTCGATCTTTTCATCGGATATTTTTGCCTCCCAGATGATGGAGAAAGCGAGTCTGTCTACATTCTTGTGCAGGGAGCACAGGTTAGTGCCTAGAAGGCCTGGGAGCATATCTATCCTTCTGTTGGGGAGGTATGTTGTGCATCCTCTTATTCTTCCTTCTCTATCCAAATGGCTGCCCTCTTTAACGAAGTGTGTAACATCTGCTATGTGCACGCCTATTTCCACTATTCCATTCGGTCTTTCTACTGCATGGAGAGCATCGTCAATGTCTATGCACCCTTCTGGGTCTATGCTGGCAATGGGATACGCTCTTAGATCCTCTCTTTCTGCTAGATCCTGTGGTGTTACATCCCAGCTCTCAGATGGGAGCTCTTCAAGCGCAGCAGTTTCGAAGGGCTGGTCTAGGATGGAGTGGTGGGCTAGTAGAGCTGCTGTCTCTGCCTCTATTGCTCCCTTCTCTCCTGTTTCCTTTATTATGTAGCCTATGGGGTACTCTTCTGTTTCGTTCCACTCTTCTACCACGACTAAGTATATCCTGTTCTTTAAGTCTTTGTTTTCAGGTACTCTGCAAATGACCATTGGTAAGTTGTTCATTTCTGGCTCCATGAGGGCGTGTGTGCTGTTGAGCAGTCTCAGCACTGTGCATGGGAACGGCTTTCTGCTTCTCTTCTCTATCCCCACGACTCTTCCTATGCTCTTATCCTCTGTTTCTTCTACTATTTCTGCAAAGACATAATCCTTATCTATCGCGCGGTTTAGGAACTCTCTGGGAATACTTATTCTCATTTGGTTTCCTTCAATATTGCACACGATTTCACCGTTTCCGATGCTGTCTGGTATGGAGATAGAGCCCATTTCTATTCTGTCTTGTATCTCTTCCATTGCATCTACTTCCATATACGGAGTGTACGGTGTTTCTGCCTTTATTCTTGTTTCGGGCAGCACTCCCGGCGAGCCATAGACAAAAAGAGAAGGAGGGTACGGTGTGCTGCCTGTTTCTCTTATGGAGTGCACGGGTAGAAACTCGCAGCCTGCTACATGACGAGCATACCACATGCTCAGCACTTCGTAATAATCCACACCAGTATGCTCCATGGTGAATTCGTAAATACTCTTAGAAAACAAGTCTTCAATTAGCGGTAGATTGTGTCTGTCTATGATGCGCTCCAGCCTTCTGAATGTGTTAAGATATTTCCTTTTCAGCTCTGATATGGCTGTTCTCGTGATTATTATGTTTGTGAGAGCTTTCTCCTCTATGAAGTGGATAAAGTCGTGGATGAACTCGTCAGAGAGAATGTAGAACCTGTTTGATTTTTGAAGATATTCGCGAATTCTTGGGTTGGCAGCACTGCAGCACCCGAACCCGCAGTTCACTGCATCGTGCAGATATATCTCCTGCGGTGCTCTGTAGATTTCATTCTTTTTCGTTTTCTTGTACGAAATATTTATTCTTTCCATTTTCTTAAAATATTTTCACATGAAAGAACTTTCTGACTTTATCCACTCGAGTGTCTGTGTTACCACGTACTGTGATAACGTGTACCACGGCACCTTGCTGGCAGTTGATCAGTATTTGAACGTAGTCCTCCAAAGTGTCCTGAAAGACAACAACGAAAAGAAGGGATTCATTTTCATCAAGGGGTCTAACATCCTGCTTCTGAATCTGCTCCAGTAGCACCCAAAGACCGCATAAAACTGTACAGTCTTTTGAATTATATAGAATTGTCAAATAAACCATTTTACCATTATTATCTGCTGATTATATACCTGCTAATTTATGTACAGAAGCGGTAAGCGCAGGATTTTGCTGGACTTTGCAATTGATTTTGTGCAAAACTGTAACAAAAGAAGTACAGTAACATTTCGTTTATTTTAATTTTCGGTGCGAACATAAAACAGAAGTATTGCATCTGCTTTGAAGAGAGGGGCTTTGAAGATTTCGCCGTCAATATAAGTGTCCCAGCGCACACTGTCCAGTCCACTATTATCGCTCTTAGAAGATTCTCTTTCATCCAGTATTTGCGTGAAATAGTATCCACCATGGCTGTTGTTCTGGTAGACAACTGATGTCTTCAGTCTGTACGTTAAAAATGATGTTTTCTCCTTTGGGGGTGCATTTTTCTTTTGTGTGCAGTCGCTGCTGTGGTTAAAAAATGTCTGCATCTTCTTGAAAACATCGGGTGATATGAGATCTGTCGTAATCAGATCACTTTTCAGAGTCTCATCATCAGAAGTATTGGTGTCATTAAAGGTGGACGAGTCATCCTGTGCGGACACTGCATCGCTTCTTCTCTCGTACTCTCTGTACGGAATGCACAGCTCCCTCTCTATCTGAGGGCATGCATTCTCGCCCAGAATGAAATTAGCCGGCCGTTTGAGACGAACTGCCAGAATGGTGGGAATATTCGAAAGACACGATGCAATGGTTTTTGTCCTTGCCCCGCACTTGCACGGCTTATCGAGCTGCTTGATGGAAAAATACTCTGCAACTGTTTGGTTGGGCTTCAGATAGAGAATGCAAACTTTTTCCGATCTGTCCCACTTCTCTTTGCACTCCCCGCAGGTTATGGACGACCTCAGAAGAATGTAGAATAAATTCGATATTTTTCTGCTAGCTGGGCCGGTCTCAATTCTTTTCAAAAGAGACATAAAGTTCCTAAAGAATCTTGCTGCATCCATCTGTGTGTCGTCGTCGCACCTTTCAAATGAGCTGTTGACTAGCTCTTCAATGTGGTCTACAAATACATAGCCGTTCACTCTGAGAGCGTGCATTGACATCATTTTAGCAAGAATTTCATTCACTGCATTTTTAAACTCGCAGTTGCTCTCCTTTATCACAAGATCATTGAAAATGTTTACATTCCCAGAGCTGAGAATGCAGAAGGAGATAGCCTGCACTATGGACAGAACGTGCTCAGGGCTTCTTTTTTCTGCAGTAAAATTCTCTGCATTAAAGTGTAACTCTCTGCACAGTTGACAGCTTTTTTTTTCTTTTTCTTTTTCAATATCTACACTGTCACACGATAGACACCCGCTCCTTGCTATGTATCTACAGCTGAATATCTCGTGGATTATTTCATCTCTTATGAACACGCTGCAGAAACAGCAGAAAGCCAGCATATTCAAATTACCGGGGTCAAAATCATCCAGAGTGATGAACAAAGAGTGCTGTGTCTTCTCAAAGTGTTTGTACGCATGGCTGCATCCCTTTATATTGTGTCTATTTCTGCCGCAGAAAACAAGACCGCACGCGATGCACATCCACTTGTTCTCCTGGAGGGAGCATATGCAGCACTCACTGGAGGCATAGTACACAACTATCTGCGATATCTGGTTGGCTATTTTAGCCATTTCCTTGAACACTCTGAAAACGTGCATGCACGGCCCAAACTCTTTCGCCGAGTGTGTGGACATTTCAGCCAAGCTCTTGCACTTTAAGATCTCCAGGAGCCCTTCGATCATTGAGCAGTCTTTTGTCCTTATTACAGCATACATTCTATTATTCTCTTCAGATATCTCAATGGGAAATCGGTTGTGCTGCTCGAATACGTGGAAGAACGCGTGCTTTTCGCACAGCTCCATACCGCACGAGCATATCTCTACAATTGATTTGTAATCATCCACAAGACACTGCATGCACTTTCCCTTTAAAAAGCCCGCAAGAAACTTCATATTTTGGCAGTAGATGTGTCTTTTATAATTTAGATGGAGAATCAGTTTGATAGAATTTTTATTCATTGGAAGACATTTTATAAAACAAAACAGCTGCATGGGAAGAGAGGAGCTCTTGTATGCCCGTTTTTTCATTATCATAAACAACCCATGCTCTTTCTTTAGGGACTGTTTCGTACTTTTTGCACTTCTTTTGTGCAGATCCCTCGGAAGAAGAGCTGCCGTGTGCCGTGCTACTTCTATTTTTACTTTCTTCCTGTGTTCTATTTTTTATGCTGACCGACTGCTTCTCTGTGTACTCTTCGTATATCGACTCGCCCATTGGACATCTTTTCAGCGGAATTTCTGTGATGTAGTGCCCTGCCTGCACTGTGCCCTTGTGTATTACAGCGCCCATCAGCGTATACATGACTTTCCTGCCGTCTTTGTCTTCAACTGCAAAAGACTCTTCAGTTGGCGACTGTTCCTCGGATGATAAGTCTCTTTTTATTCCAACAGTAAATATTTTTGGCGCACTGTGTATGACTATTTTTCTTTTTTTCTTGGTCCCGCAGTCGCAGACAGATGGCAGCTCTTCCTCCTTGAACAAATCTTGGATCTTCTGCTGAGATCCAATATACACAATAGACCCAACCTCTTCCTGCTCGTTGCACGTATTGCACTTATCGCAGACTATCATTATTTCCTGCGTTATTTTAAAACAGTCAAATATCGCGTTAAAATGCCCCATGTCATCGTAGCTATTTACTAGAGAGATTAGATCGGTGAAATACTCTGAGGCATCCTGCTGAGTTCCCAGGGTGTAGCTGGGGTACACGCTCTGCACAATGCTGCACAGCCTGTCAACTGAGAATGTCTCAACCTCCTCCCTGTGCGATCTGTCTATCTGTTTAATCACTTTCTTGAACTGGCAGCCAAAGCACTCCTTTGGGCTATCGCATTCTATCTCGTAGACTGAGTTGAATCTCTCCATGCACTCAGACAGACAGTAGGTAACGGCCTGCAGTATGGATGAGATATAGCAGGTATTCCCTAGGTCAGCAAGCCCGCCCTTTTTTCTGACCAAAGTGTACGGGATGATCGAGCTTCCTTCTGTCTCCAAGTGAAGATCTTCGATTTTTGTGTTCAGTCTTTTCGAAATTTCAAAGGTATTCAGAGCATCAGAGCTCGGGGTGGGCGTTAGTTTGTTCTCTATCTTGCCAAACAGACTGTGTGATATCATATCATCGCACTCGTAGCAGTACACATCGCATATTCTCTTTCTGCTGTCTATGCTCTGTATCTTTAGGAACGTATTGCACTTTCCTTTGCTTTCTTCTCTGTGCTGCAATCCGTGCCCTTTTCCCTCTACGCCGTACTGTTCTCTGCCACAGAACACTTTGTTGCACTCGATGCACAGCCACGAGTTGCTGTCTATGTCGCAGCTGCTGCACTTTTTGCTATCGATTGTTATTTTTGCAACATTTGGCAGATGTGTGCACTTTTTCAGCAGATTCCTTTCTATTTTTGGAAGTATCAAAGACTGCCGCACAGTGTCCTCTGTTTCAGTTTTATCAACGCCCACGCCGTAGTCTTCTATGTCAACCACAATGTCCGGCAGGTGCCCAGATACAGCAATGGATATTTTTTTGTGGTCATTAGTTTTATGTTTATCTATGTGGTAGTGGCACATTTCAGTACTGCATTCGCAGTAGAGAATGGGGCCAGAGTACACATCGCGGAAGCAGTAGCTGCACTCTCCAGTGAAGTCATTACATAAAAACATGCGAGCTCTAAAAATAATAATAAAATATTTTTTTATTTTATACCCCAGATGGAAGACCAGCTAATTCAGCCAGAAATTGCGGTAGCAAATGAAATGCCAAAGGAAGTAGCAGAAGAAAAGCCCCAAGAAAAGATTGTATTCGGAGTGGCACACATATATGCATCTCACAACGACACCTTTGTCCACATCACCGACTTGACCTCAAGAGAAACCATTTGCAGAGTGACGGGAGGTATGATCGTGAAGGCAGATAAGGACGAGAGCAGTCCATACGCTGCCATGTTCGCCGCCCAGAGAGCAGCCGAGCTGGCCAAGGCCGCAGGATTCAACGCTGTTCACGTGAGAGTCAGAGCGAGTGGAGGTGTAAAGACAAAGACACCAGGACCAGGCGCACAGAGTGCTCTAAGAGCGCTTGCCAGAAACGGACTCCGCATAGGACGCATTGAAGACATCACGCCCATTGCTGCTGATAGAACAAGAAAGAAGGGAGGAAGAAGAGGAAGAAGACTATAAGAGATTATAGTGATCATTAAAATTAAATATCAATTAATTATTTCATGTTTATCTACTCTGCTGTTTTAGTTATTCTACATCACCAACAGATCTTAATGGTTTTTATCTACAATGGCAGTTATTTTGCTGTGTGCTACAATGGAAGCGAGTGGTAAAGAGCTATTGGGCGGTAGTGCAGAGGATCTGCGGCAGAAGTGAATGCACAGTGTGTCTTTTTTTACATTCTCTTGCGCAGATGTTTTAGTGGTGGCTTTTCAGTTATTTCAAATGTGGGATACTAGAAGAATGAAGAGAGATAAGATAAGATAGAGAAGTGATATGGACGATGATGAGATAGAGAGATAGCAAATAACTGTATTTATCTTTTTATTAGATTGGTTGTCTTCTCTATTTTCTTCCATACTTCTCCTTTAGTACCTGCAGAGGAAGCTTCTGCGATGCATTTACCCATGGCCTCTGTATGACTTTGATTCCGTTTTTGCTTACTTTCACTCCGTCCACTACCGGGCCAAGAACCACATCATTCTTCTCTGAGTTGTCAGGCCTTATCACCTTCAGCCCGCGCTGCATCACAGGGAATACCGATCCCTCGCACTCCTGCATGTCAATCAGGGGCCTTCTAAACGACAGCTCTCTATCCTCTATCTTCTCTCCATCTCCCGAGTATACAGACAGCACTGATCTATCTTTTATCTCTGTGGTGTTGTGCTGCCCTGCACAGTGTATTCTTTCGCCAGCTGCAACTGCCATCAAATAGACAATGTTCTTGTCAGATATTTTTCTGTGCACGTTTTTCTCAAAATCAAAAAGAACGACATCAGAGCCAGAAATAAGCACGCTGTTCTCACCGGTGCCTCTGCTTATGTGGGACGGGATGTAGTCTACACCAAGCGCATCCAGGGCCCACTCTGCATCTGTCTTTCCGTCATTCTCTATACTTGACACAGCCAGCACCAACTTCTTCTTTGAAATAACATACCACACTCTTCCATCTATCACCGTATGGTACAGCACAAGGCCTTTAATCTGCTTCTTAATTGCCACTGTGCTATTGCTCCAGTTGTACTCATACACGCGGATGCCCTCCTTTGTTCTTATCACACAGCTGTCACCAACTGCCTCTACGCCCAGTATGGGGCTCTTAGTGATGTGCTTGAAGATGAGCACGGAGTTCTCTTTGTCCTTGGACACGTCGTAGATGCGCATTTCATTCTCTGTGACAGAATACATCTTTCCATTGGAGTATGAGCACGGTAAATCCTGGTATCTTTTTATGGATATGGGCCTGTCTATTTTGGGAATAATGCAAATGTTGATAGTTCGATCTTCTGAGACTGTGATGATGTTCCCGTCGCACTCCTTGATGAAAAGACCGTCCGCCTTGTGGAAGTCGTGCTGGAACTCTTTTGCGTAGTACCTTGCTGTCTTCGAGTAGCATATTACCCTTGGGTCTGCGCCGATCATCAGTATTTTGTTCCCAATTGTGCAAACTCCATTGATAGAGCTGTTTCTTACCTGGATCATCTGTTTGATTTCCTTTGCATCTATGTCGATAATGTGCAGATCACCGCCCATTGTGGTCACTGCGTACTCTGACCCCACCACTGAGGCTATTCCTGTCAGCGGATCATTTCTGCTCCCAGAGCTCAGCGGTATGTCGAATGCTACTTTCCCGTCTTTAATGTGGAGGAATCTCCCTGTGTGTGTTCCCACTAAAAAAGAATTTTCTTCGTTTCCAAAACACGCAGTTAGAATGTACCCCATGCTCCTGTATACCAGCGCGCCATTTACATGGAGCTCTGAGCCCCCTTCAACCAGGCTGTAAATGACCATCTTTTTTCCGTTCTTGAAGTAGACTTTCCACGCGCCTTCTGCTCTGTCTTTCCTAATGGTGAATGTTGCCATGTCCAAATACAGTATCCCCTCTGACAGGGAGTTAATAACCAACGTATCTCCATCAAACTCAGCCGAGTGCACATCTCTCATCCCAGTATCAAGGCTGCTTATCTTGAACAGATAGGGATTGCTGAATATTTCGACCACTCCGCTGTTTCTCACTGTTACAATGTATTTTTTATTGACTGCCAACCCGGAGACACTTTCCGGTAGACTTGAGTCCCGTCTGCAGAGCTGTAAACGTGTCATAAAAATTTTTCATGGCTGCATATTTACGTTTCTCTTTTCTTATTATTTTGCTGCGTTTTAACCCAGGTTTTTCTCTCTCGCTGCTGCTCCAGCCTGCTCTTCGCAGATAGCTCGCAATTATCTTAAATATGAATTTAATCTTTGGAAAATTTGTAAGTATAAACAAAGAATTAAAGAGAACTATGCAAAACAAAACATTCTTATTACCATCCAGTAAGATTGTCCGGGCTGAGCTTCAGAGGAAAAAGATATACATTCTGGTTGGCATTCAGTGCTGCATTCTTTTCACGCTTATATTCTTTTTATTTCGACGGAAAAATAATTTCATGGGGGTCCAGGAGCATGCTCTTATTTCTGAGAAAATGTATGACCTTTTTGACCAAATAAATGATGAAGTGGACAACTGCCTGAGGTACTCAACGCGAAAAGAGCAGAACCAAGAGTTTGCAAAAATAGACTTCATTCCAGATCTAAACCCCATCAGACTCTCTGAAATGACTGCAGTCTTTGAGCTGACGGGAAACATCCGCCAGTACTTGAGAATAAAAGAAACAGAAAGCGACCCGCAAGAGAAGAAAGGCCGAGTGGCAGATAAAATAATTATAAAAAGAGTAATACTGAAAATGGAGAACAATCCGGAAGAAGAGGCTATTTCTACGATGGTTGACCATCCGCATGTTGTAAAGACGCACTTGACATACCGGTGCAACTATATTAACTCAAAGGGCGTAGACCAAGCTCTTCTGTGGCTCTTCATTGAGGCGCTGAACGTAAAGGTGTCTCTGAAAGAGAATGCAAAGAAGGAGAATGAAATCAGAGATATTATGAAAGACACGCTGAAAGGCCTGGAGTATCTGCACGGGAGCCACATTGCGCATCTGGATCTTAAGTTAGCAAATGTAATGGGGTACAAAGACGAAAACAGCAACATAATCTACAAAATCATTGACTTTGGGTTTTCTCGAAAGCTCCCAGAGAGCCAGCAGGAAGAAACGTACCCAAAGCGATGCTACGGCACCTTCCCGTACAAGCCCCCTGAGGTGTGGATATCAAGCATCCACGGCTTTGCTTCGGATATTTGGTGCGTAGGAGCCATGTCTCTCTTCTTGGCAAACAGAAAGTCCGCATATTTTCAGAAAAAAACACCCAACGCAAATGCAGGCGGAAACACAAAAGATTACGCAGAGTTTAGACAGTTTTTGGAAGAGACTGTCAGAATAAAAATCGACTCTGAGACTTCTCCTGAGCTGGTTTCTTTCATAAAAGATTGCATGCAGAGAAATAGAAAAAACAGGCCCACGGCCACCGAGCTGCTGAAACATTCGTTTATTCTTGGCGAAAAACTGTCCAGCCAAGCTGCTAAGAAACTGGAATACTATGTTTAATAAAGTCAATAGTTGTTCAGTCTGGTGCTGTATTTTGTGTTCGAAAAGCTCTTGTTTTTATCTCTAGTGAAACACTTTGATTCTTCTTTTCAGATGAAGCTGTTTTGTGGGATAATCCGAGAGTGCTGTAAGATAAAATTTATTGAATTGCTAACTATAACTCTGGCAACAGAAAGCACAAAAAAATATTTTCATGTTCAGCGGGTTCATACAAGAGACAAATGAAATTCCAAACATCCAGATAGGAGAGATAATTGCCCACGGGTCCACTTCGACCGTAAGAAAGGGGAAAAGCGCAAGCGGCGAGGAATATGCAATAAAAATAATCTTTGCAGATAATCTCATCCGGCGCCAGGAGGCAAAAAAGGAGGCTTCGATTCACAAAGCGCTGATGCACCAGCACATTGTAAAGCTGCAAAACGTGCACTTCACAAAGACGCATGCATACCTGATTATGGACTATGCAATAAAAAACGAGCTATTTATGTACATAGACCCAGGCTCTGGGCTGCCAGAGGATATCTGCCACTTGTATTTGAAACAGCTCCTTTCTGTTTTAAAGCACATCCACAGCAGAGGCATATGCCACAGAGACATAAAACCTGAAAATATTCTCTTAGATAAAAACTACAATCTGCTTATAACGGACTTTGGGTGCTCAACGGTTTACAGGGATGCAAATGGGCGCAGATCTCTCACAAAGCAGTGCGGAAGCTCCAATTACATGGCGCCTGACATATACTACGGCGAGTACGATGGAGAGCTCGTTGACATATGGTCATTTGGCGTGGTGGCTTTGGTTCTTTGTACGGGCGTAGTGCCCTGGGAGAGCCCGTGCCCAGAGGACAAAAACTTTGAAAGATTCAGACTGAGCGTATTTCGAGACTACTCGCCGTTCAATCTGCTGAGCAAAAATAAGCTGGAGCTGATCGAAAAGTGTTTGGCAGTTAAATCTGAAAAACGGATAAAATTTAACAAACTGAGCGAGAATGCGTGGCTCAGCAGCCCCAATATTTACATGGGCCCTGATGGATTAGTTCGGTCCCCTGTTCTTGTAGCGTCTAAGCTAGCACCTCCTGAGATGCCTGCTTTCTCGCAGCCAGATATGTGCAACTCTCCGGCAGGGAGAGACTCGAGCTCGCAGCCTATTTTTCTGAGCTACGACACGTTCCCAGTTGCGACCAGAATATACAGCTGCGCATCGCCTGGTATAAGCATGCAGGTTCTTTGCCGGTCTATGAAGGATATTCTGATTCCGTACAGAACGTCAGGGAATGTCATTTCATTTAGCACAGTTGACAGCTCAAAAAATCTGATCAGCGGAGAAATCTATTTGAAGAAAAACGGCGCAGAGACTCTCATTATATTCCAGCGCACCAGAGGAAACTGTCTGGAGTACAAAAAGATGTTCAATGCGCTCAAGGAAAGATTTATGGCAAATGCCGACACATATGCATCATCGAAATAAAGGCAATAAAAAATTGCGACTCTAGAAAAATAAACTCAGACTATTTAGTGCTTTGAAAATGTAATCTGCAGAGTTTACACTTTTGTTCTTTATTTTTATATATTTCTTGCTACTAGAGGTATAATTGTGTGTAGTATTCTATTTTTCGCTTGGAAAGAGAGCATAACTGCTGTTATAGATAGTATATTAACTTAGTGGACTATTGCAAATATATTGACTGTTACTTAGATAGTTTTGTTTATTTCTCTATTAGATTACTTTTTATGGCTCTACAATGGCTGAACTTGAGCCTTCCACTGATTTTCTATTTTTGTTCTTTCTCTTTTATTTTTGCAAGAAAACTCTTCTGTTGCAATGTCTTTAGTTAAAAACAGAATAATTAGAGAGTGTTTGCCAAATGGAATAAGTGTCCTTCTGAGACAGATGCCTGTTCAGGAGTATCTGGTTGGTCTCTCTGGAAAAGGAGGATCTATTGGAAACAGAAGAGAATCTCTTCCAGATGGAGCAGCACACATGCTAGAGCATGTTCTCATTCGACAGCTCAGTCCGCAGACAAAAGAGAAGTACGATATAAATGGAAAAACAACCCAAACACACATTTCCATATATGGCCATGGAAAAAGCAATAATAAATCTGCTGAGCTGGCAAAAGAGCTTCTTTCAGCCATGCACCACAGCGTATCAAGAGACAGCATGGAAAAGGAAATGCCTCGGATTGAAAACGAAATAAAACACGTTCAAAATACTGCATCTGAAAAGCATGAAAACTTCGTATCAAAGGTTTTTGAAAACACGCCTCTCGCTTCTTCCATCCTTGGGACTCCAGAAACCCTCCAGAAAATTACAAGAAATAACTTGCAGTCTTTTCTGCAGAATACATTCACTGCTGGAAACACGCTTTTAGTTGCTGTGGGAAACATAAACCCAGAGGAAATACTTAAAACAGCGAGAGAGCATCCCGCTCTAAAAAACAGCAGTCAAATGGATGGACTGCCATCTACAGAGCCAGATAGAGTGCAAATAAAAGATGCCTTTTCTGATCAAGGTACTTATGCAGTACAAGATAGAGTGCAAAAGACCTTCCAAAAAGAGAAGAATTCTCTACACGATGAAACATCAACTGTACTGATTGGATATAAAATACCTTACAGAAAAAACATAAAATCGTATGCATCTTATTTGGCGATTGCCCACTCCATTGAGAAGCACAGTCTAGCCGCAGGGCTAAACCTCAGCCCGCAGCTGTATTACACAGATGCAGGCGGCCTGCTGTTCTTTGCAATTCCAAAGAATGTGTACAAAAATATATCCATCGCCAGCATGGTAGAAAAAGCAGCAGAAAACATCAAAAAAGACATAGAGCAATTTAAACACTCCAAGCCAAGCAGAATCACACTGCAGCAGCTTGATCTGCCAAGCTATCTATTTTCCATAGGCCTGGGATCTCTTACGGAAGAAGAATTGCTCAGCTCTCTAAAAAAGTTGGAGACTTCTGACATCACAGAAGGTCTTAAAATCTTCAACAAAAAACCGTACATCATGGAAGTTTCATCTTAGTATGTTCTACTCACAATGAATAGCAGCAAACCTTTTCTAGCGCTAATTCCAAGCACAACGAGCTTAGACCGATCTACAGTTGCTGTATATTATGGAATTATAACTTAAATCGTACAATTTTTAATTCCATTCTCACACAAAATGAAAGCTGGAGAAATGATATTTTTAGAAAGTTGCCATAGACCATAAAAACTAAATAAAGTATTAACTTTTTATTAGAGTAATGAGTTTGTCTTGCTCATATAGGTTTGATTAGTATTATTTATGCCCTTTTCGTGAGGGATTTCCTCCATCAGAATTAATTGCAGGAGTACCTTTGGTTTGAGTCTGAGTACCTTGTGTCTTTGCACCTGCAGCTGCACCACCTTTGGTCTGAGTACCTTGTGTCTTTTTACCTGCAACAACTCCACCTTTGGTCTGAGTACCTTGTTCCTCTGCACTTCCAGCAACAACTGCACCCTGCTGTGAGCTTGCACCAACTGCACTTTGACTTTGATCTTCTTCTGCATCGGTTTGAGTTTGAGCATCTGCGGTTTGAGCACTTCCAGCAACAACTGAACTTTGACTTCCAGAAACTTCTGCATCAGTTTGACTTTCCTCAACTGATGTTGTCTCTACAGTCTCTTCAACATCCTCTGTTTCTTCATAGTCGTCTTGCTGCATACTTGATCCGCTTACTTCACCTCCAGCTTTAACTGCTACTGTGAAGAATGATAGAATAAGTAATCCAAATATTAATGCTGTTGTTTTGTTCATGATATAGTGCACATCTCTTTCTGTATTTATAGATTTATTTTGTACCTGACTTTTTCTATTGATTCAGATTTCTGCAGAATGATTGATGTTTGAATAACGGATCAGTTGTTTTATCACACAAGAAACCTATCTGTTTCCCTGAATTTTTATTCGTGGCTTATTGAACTATCCAATACTTTTCCTTAGCCGCTGAAAAAAGACCTTACAGCCGCCTTAGCGCGTGACTCAGCTAGTTTGTCCCCGTATGGAAACTTTCTGGTGATGTTCCCGTTTCTGTCTTTCGAAATAACTGCGTTGTAGTATGTCCCGGAATACGAAAGATAGACAACCGATCGAAACTCTTCTCCAAACCCGTACACCCTCAGGTCTTTGTCAATCACGCACACTTTTGTTCCGTATATCTTTGAAATCACTGTTATTTCAGGTGCTCCTCCCCATATGTTTGGCTGCAGTATCCACGTTGAATACTCAAAGGGCTCTTTTTCTATATACGGGCTAAAAGCCTTGGGGTCTTTCAGGATCTCATTAGCCACCATCTTTCGCAGCTCCCCGCTGCTCTTTGCGTTGAGGAGCTCGCTCAGGGCATGGAACAGACACGAGTTGTCGCTTGGCACTTCTAAAATAGAAAAAACCATTTCTTTATTCTCCAAAGTGTTTGTTGCTGTTTCAACAGGGCCCTCTACTTTCGACGACTCTTCAGCGTATATGCACTCCAAGTCTGAAAAGACCTCGGAAATTAGCTTGCTAGACTTTTCGACCAGACACTTTGGAGTTCCCTTGAAGAGATATCTCTTGGATCCTATTTTAGACTCTACTTCCTCATACAGTGTTTCTATTCTTCTGTCTCCTTCTATCTGGCACACAAAAGACATAGAACCATCTATTATTTTAAAGCGCATACACAAATAGAAATTATTTTCATTTTATATTGTTTGTGCTAATAAGCAAACATTTACTTTTAGAGGCAACCATTTTATCTCACTAGAGAACAGTGAAGTTGTATTTCTCTGCTTTCATGTGCTATCCGCTTCTAGAGAGTAGATCTTATATTTAATTTTAAGGTTTTTCTGTCTGTACTAGCATTGTTAGCATCGAATAAACATATATTTAATTTTCAGTATCAATCACTAGTATTCTCTTATATTTTCATTCTGCAAGTATTCATCTTCTCTGAACAGATGCCATTAGACTGTACCACTTGCAATTTAATTTTCATTTTTGGAAATTTTTGTGTGCAGAAAACTCTTGGCAAATGGAGAATGTATACATTTAAATTTAATCGCATTTCATCAAACCGTGCACAAAACCTACTCTTTTAACGCTTTATTTATTAGCTAAAATATAATCTAGTAAACTTCAGTTGGTACTTCTGGTTGTACGTAATTTTAAAGATGAGTTTTTCATTTTTTGAGAGCTTTCGAACAGGAGCCATCTCTTCCAGCTCTGTCTGCTTTAGCGGCGTGGTTTTAAAGATGACGCTGTTCTCCAGCCCGTATATTCTTTTCAGCTCCATTGAGGTTTTCTTGCTGTCCAGATCAATGAGGAAGGGATAGCCTATGGTCTCTGTGCTGTACTTCAGCACTGCTTCTATTCTTATTTTTTTGTGCACCTCCTGCACGACAACCAGTGTCATGTTTCGCAGATTTATCTTTGTGGAGTTGGGCCTATACGAGGTAATGCTGTCCGCTCCTAGATGCGTTTTCAATATTCTTGTCTCCGATGTGATCTCTGATTTGTCCATTTTCAGCGCTGAAAGTATCTCTTCCCCTGTAACTGTCTCGGGGAGGATGTATGCTCTTTTCTCCACGAGGTTTACATTCTCTGTTTTATCTCCCAAGGCAGATAGATAGGCTATAACGTATCCTTCTTCTACTTCTATGCATATCTTTTCTTCTTCAATTTCGGTAATTCTGAACTTCTCTGACTCCAGCGTATCTTTAAGCAGATTTTCTATGCTTTCAGCTGTTGTATCGGAGGGCAGCCAATAGTTTCTGATCTGCTGGTTCTTGTGCACGAGCGTAAATATCCTGTGGCATGAAAGGGCTTTGAAGTACTCTGCCACTGTCTTGAGGCCTGCATCTATGATGATCACTCCTGAGTCGCCTTTAAAAACTTTTTCAAATGTTGCACCATCCTCTATTTCCCTGGGCTTTCCGTCAATCTCTGCAAACGGAGAGATGGATAGCTTGTGCCCTGCCTTGATCCACTCCTTAACACTTGCCTTCCTGTTCACCACGTGCGCTGACTTTATGTCGATAAGCACCTTGAGATCGTACGGCTGCCCCATGGCTTTAGTCTGCTTTACGAACAGAATAAAGGAGTCTTCCTCTTTTATGTTCTTGTCTGCTTCAATGGCAAACAGCTGGTGGCTTGGCAAGTCTGCAACAATCTCTGCTTCTCTGATTTGCTTTAGAGTTGAGTCACTGTCAATTGCATACAGAAGTATCGATTCTTCTGCTGTGCTCGTGTTGAACAGAAGTTTCTTGGCTTGGAGAGTAACCTGGTTGTACGACTGCGAGTTCTCTAGCTCCACAACAGCAGGCGATGACTTGAGATACTGCTGACCTGGAGTGAAGTATCCTGTGCCCCAGTATCCCTTCATGATGCACGGCATGTATATTTCCAGTTTTACCTTCGAAGCAAGAAACTTTTCTTTTTTTACCGATGTTTTTATATCCTCTGGTACGTCTTCTATTTGCGAGTTCAGAAGCTCGTCCATTTGAGATGTTCTTATGTAAACCAGATAGTACGCATTCGATACCTTTATCTTGTTCTTGTACGGATGGCGTCCTCCAAATGTCTCCTGGATTGCCTCTCTTTCCATGCACTTTGTGACATAGCTGTCGTTGAATTTGTACCATCCTTCTGGCTTTTTTATGTAGGCGTAGTAGTGCCCCTCTGACATTCCATTGCCCAGGTGCACATTCACCGAGTAGAGAGTGTACTTATTGTCTGCATCCTTGTCTGGGGTGTAGGGCGATAGATCTAGAGTTTTTGGGAAGGAGTAGTAGTTGTTCAGCTTGTACACATCCCCTGTTTCATAGTTCATATTGAACCTCTTTATTTGGAGGAAGAGAACAGGGGGGAAGGTCTTGCAGTAGTCTGTCTTAGTTGCATTCACGTACCCGTGCTCTTCGCAGTTGTAGAGATTTGGCTCGTGCAGATCTGTTGTTTTCATGTAGTCGTGCAGAGAGTCTTCAAGGGATGTTACAGAGTTCTCAACGCATGGCAGATCCATCACCAGCTGCAGATCATTGTACTTCTCGGTTCTTTCTCGCACGCACCCTTTTTCGCAGCGTATTGTTGTTCCGAGAGTTCCATAAAATGTGTCTTCAATGTATTTGAAAAACGGTGTGCCCTTCGCCTCTTTTTCTAGCTCGTCCAGTAGAACTTTGAAGAACTCCTGTATGTCCTGCTGCTCGTCGATGTCTTCGTCCTTCAGCTTAAAGGCATTTGTAAAGTCTTTTGTGTCTGCATACATCACGTCTTTTCCTAGCTGGTAGAACAGTTTCTGCATCTGCACGGTTTTTTTACTTGGAGGCTGTTTGAAGAGCTCTTTCACAAACCCCTTTATATGGAAGAGTGTTTGCATTATCGAGTTTAGATAGCAGGTGGCGCCCAGGTTGATCAGTCCCGTGTACGGTGTGTCTTTTTTCGACTCGTAGCACCTGACAGCAGAGAGTATTTTTATGGAGACTGTTTTTTTTTCTTTCTCCTGGACCTCCACTCCAAAGTCCAGCTGAGTCCCAAAGCCAAAAGTCACTTTTTTTTCTTCTCTTTCTCCATCTGCGTATTCTATTTGTAGAATGTAGTCTGTGAACACCTCGAATGTCAAGTACCCGAAGTACTCCAGATACACATACGGCCTGTCTGCGGTTATCAGAGCGAGCCGCCACGTATAGTTGTGCGAGTTGAAGTATTCGCTGAATATGCTCTTATCTCCCCACTGATGCTTCACATTCCATTTGAAACAATAGTCGTCCATTCTTTAAAAAAATAAGAATAATTTATTTTAACTTTAACTTTGTCTGTGCGCTATTAATTGTTGCTATCGATTCTTCCATGATGGTGATTTTTATTGTTTATCTCAGATATGTCACTTTTTCTTACCAAAATGTGTACTTCGCACTGTTTGTCTTTCTACTTGTGATTAGGATGAGACTGGCTATCTCACAATTTTACAGCCCTAATGGCTAGCAGTGGCATAAAAATAAATAAGAATGAATTTCATGCAACAACTGGGAGCAATGCAAGAGCAAACATTGCACAATCTAGACTCACTTGAAACTGTTTCATGTAAAACCGTTATACTCAATGAGGAATTTTATGAGTGGTGATATTTTCTCTATAAACAGATAGAAATACCATCTTTACTACATTCTAGCACAGTATAAAACGAAAAGAGCAGCAGCTACTTCTGCTAAAAGAAGATCAGTAAATGTTCTGCGAACGTGAATAATATTTAAACCCTTAGCTTTTTATTTTTCTTTCCAAACCATAGCTTAGTTTCTCAGCTTTGGATGCAGAGTTCTGTAGGTGTAGACTCCTGTTATGCAGAGCAAAACGCATGGCAGAATGAAGAATCTGGCAGTGCTCCACAGGAGGCTCAGACCTGAAATGGTTCCAAGCGGTTTGTTCTGATCAAACACCTCGTGGGCCTGCAGGCCGCCAGATATGTCGAATAAAAGCCTTAAGAACTGGTCTCTGGTGTTGATGCAGATGCTGTTCTCGTCCCTAACTATTTCCATAGCGCTGAAGCTGTCTGCAATGGCCTCCACTGCATCTGAATCCAGCACAGTGCCTGGAGCGAACTGCAGTTTGTTCTGGTAGAGGGCAATCTTTGAGATAAGATTCATGAAACAGTCTATGGGCCCCATTACGAAGAGGAACTTGACTACTGAGAAAATGCCTGTGCAAATAGCACGTGGGATAGGGCTGTTGAATGCATCTACTATACCTAGGTTAGTTATAATGCGGTGGATAACGTTCTGGCTGTCATACCTGAATATAGATATCAGCTGCATCATGCTTGAAGAGTCATCGTATGTGTATGCCACACTGTGTATGACATTGGGAAGATACGATATAACTCCTAAGTATAATATGCTGACAAGTCCAAAGACACTCTGCGAGATTGGCGCAAGATTTAAAGCGCATCCGTGCAGTCCTGCTACAAGAGAAGAGACGAATATCAATCCTATGGCAACAGGATGGCTAATGGTTATTGTCTCTCTCAGGCTCTTGTCCAACTGGAAGTATATGAAACCGTATATAATCGACTGGGCAACCCAAATGATCAGTGTTTTTTTCAAAAAAATATCGATCATAAGAGAAGAAATAAACTCAAGAGTTGTGATCTGTTTTTCTCTTATGTTGGACTTGCAGAGTCTGTAGAAGTCTGGGTTTAGGAAGTTGCTGGGCATTGCTATGGCGAACATTGCAACACATATGCTGGAGAGCATGAAGAACATGCTCAGCATGTTAATCCAGCTTATGTTCCCTACAACCTCAAGGATCTTGCTTGTTTCAGCGGCGTGTCCCATGTATCCAGCTGCTATCATTCCGTCTCTTATTCCCACCAGCTTGTACTGCATGTCCTGGAGTGGCCATAAAAGGTACTTGTGTATTCCTTCCTCTGCAAATACTTTCTTGCTGAATTGGAATGTGAAAATGAACAAAATGAGGGTGGTCATCACAGTGGGTGTGTAGAGATCCATGACAAATGAACTTCCTTTAAACATCTTGTCGAAAAAGAAGACTCTCTTAAGGATCTCCAAGATGCGCACAAAAGACAGCTTCAGCGAATAGCTCGCATGGCTTATGCTTCCGCCGGCCTTTGGGCCACTTGGCGTCTGCAGAATGGACTCTGCTAGACCGTTGAATATTTTTATGTTTTCTGTGTCGAACTCATCATCGCTGTTGTTTGCACACATTTTCATAAGATAGTCCACGAAAAAGACTGTGCTTGGGAAGACTATTCCTTTGCTTGTGAAGTGTTCTTTTATCGCGCTGGCTGGACCAGAGTATATGATGGTTGATCTGTGCATAAGTATTATGTGGTTGAATCTCTGCAGCAAGTCTTCAGACACCTGGTGGACTGTCAGTAAGTTAGTGGCCTGGGTGTTCTTCAGAATCTTAATGACTGTTTTAGCCATTTCAGAGTCCAGGCCGGTAAGTGGCTCGTCCCATATGTTGAACTCTTTGTTGGAAAGAAGCCCAGCTATGAGCATAGCTCTTTTCTGCTCTCCTCCGGACAGATTTTTGAATTCTACGTTTTTTACTTTTGAGATTCTAAAAGTCTCCATGAGCTCTCTTACTTCTCTGTTCTTTTTTCCTTCGCACTTTGCGATTGAGCACAGAACTGTGTAGAGAGGCATTTGTCCGTAGTCAAGAGTTTTTTGCTGGGAGTAGTTAACTCTGGTGAACCAGTCTGCTACGTCTCTTTTTGCAAGCACTCCAAACTCGTTCTCAACGTGCACTTCTCCGTATGTTGTGTGGGAAGGCTTGCAGAGTCCTGCCATGCTGTCCATCAGAGTGGTTTTTCCGTCACCGCTCAGCCCCAGAAGAGCGATCATCTTTCCCTTAGGAAGAGAGAAGGACACTCTTTTTAGAAGAGTTTCTCCATCCTTTGTGACAAGATCGTAGTTTTTCATCTGAATAAGAGTGTTGGTCATTTTTTCAACTTCCACCACAAAATTTGTCTGCTTCACGCTGCATACGGCAGATATTTTGCAAGGGGCTTCATCCACCACGTTGATGTGATCTACTGCTCTTACTTCACTCTGTTCCTGCTGTGGACACAGTGTTTGATTCAGCTCCTCAGCAGTTGCCAGAATAAATGAGTTGTCGTTGTTCATATCTTTGTTGTTGATTTGATCTTTATTCTCCATTTTTGTTAGTACAAGATGATTTAAAAAAATATTTATTTTATAGTTGTAAAATTAATTTTGCAAAATTTTTCTGAGCTTCTTTTTATAAAACTAGCGCAAATTTGCTTCAAGTAAAAAGATTAGCTTTTCAGAGATCTCGAATATCTAGCAGTAATAAATACTCAAATAACTTCTTCGTATATTAAAATAGAATGCACTGCCATCACTATTCTACTGCCAACCAGTATACCAGTATGCCAATTGTGGAGTGTATAACGCTCTATACTATTTTTATTTTAACTTTTGCATAATACAATCTAAACTCGTTCTGCTAAAATAGTATCTGCACTGATAGATCAATATTCTCATTAAGACAATACCTCCGCTCTCTATCTTAAGCAGTAGGGCTAGCAAAGAAAGTCTGGCATATTTTGCATTAAAAAGCTAATTATTGCAAAAATTAATATGCTATACAAATTCTGCAGGAGAGCGCTCTTCTCAAATGACCAAACCATAATCAAAAAAGCGATAGATTCATCAGTTAATTCACTAAAAAGAGTCTTTGATCCTAGACTCATCGATGGATACTTTATTAGCCACAGACCATCTTCCCAAAGAGTAAATGGGACTATAGGTAAAGAGGATTTCGATGATGTGCTTTTTTATACAACTAGTGTCTCTGAAGGAGAAACAGCGAGAAAGTGCATAAAGAGTGTTCTAAATGTGATTGGTGTGGTTCTGGGGATACATCTTGTCTTCCTGTCCCTGCACAAAGTAATTGCTGACTTCTCAGTACTTCCTACTGCCCATTTAAATATGTACAATGCGTATTTAGAGACAGCCACTGATAAAAACCACCAGAGTCTTAGACCCTTGCTCTTTTCCACCCTCTTTAACTCTGTTTCTAGGAGCTATAGCATGTTTGCATCTCTTATTCGTCTCCTGCCCTTTACCATAACCATATGTGCAGTTATGTGTCCAATTTTAAAAATGTCACTAAGATCAAAAAACACATACTTTCCTTATAAGTACGCTGTGGGTATTTATACACTGCTAATGGTTGTCTCTGTGCTAATTCATGTGGTGTTTGATGTGACTATGAACAATCTACTAGCCAGTGACTCTTTATGGAAGTCTCTATATGTAGTTTGCACATTTTCTATTGCGTTTTTAATTGCATACGGTTACATCATTCTGGAGACAGCGAATGCCTATACATCACTAATGCAAGAGCATCCATGTGCATTCACTCCCAAAAGAGTAGGATATACACTTACTCTGATTGCATGCGGGGTCTTATTGACTCTATGGAGTATATATGCTATAGGCCTATTTCTGTGCTATGGAGCTAGGAGAACCATCAATGAGTCTAGCAGTCTTTCTAAGCCATCACACTCTCTCTTCGCTCCCTCTGCACCAGATGATACTGTTCCTAAGATACCACTTGAATAAGTGCTGATCTTTTCTAATCTTGCATTATATTTATATTCTATTAAAGATTCACTCTTAAATGTAGAGTCTTTGTAAGTATAGCTCAAGAATTAATAAATTATTTTTCTAATTATTCATCTGTACACTTTTTTATTCTTGCTCCTCTCTTTCTCCTACTTTTTGTTGAAAAAAGTGTTCAGCTCATCTGTATGCAGACTTTACTTCAGAAGAGAAGAGCAAGAATAACAAAAAGTGCAGTACTATTAATAGATTGTTGTGCTCTCAGATGCAAGCTAAAAAGATAAGACAGTGCAATTCAACACCAAGTATTTATTTTTCTCTTTTGTAGCTGCTATAGGAGAATACACACTTTGCACAGTTGAACTTAGGTAGAGCCAGTTGCATTCATGGCTGCGGCCATTTCATTAGCACTTGTAATTGAATAGAAGGCTGAAACTATGCCATTTATAGAAAGAGATAAAAACCCACACATCATGATAGAAATCGAGCAGTAGTCAAACCATCTTTTTCCATGGCTTTTGCTGATGTGCATATTCTCGTATACCATGCACGAAGGAATGAACAGGGTGATGTAAGAGGCAATGAGAGCTCCTGACAGATTAATAATTTTCTCCACATTGACCTCCATCAGGACAACTAGTATAGTAGAAAGAAAAACAAAAGTTCCTATGATATATCTCAATACTCCGCTCTCTTTCTCTTTTTCTTCATCTTTCTTCTCAGGCGGAGTTATCATAACAACATTTTCATCTCGGCCCATTTTACTTTTTATCCACTTCTTGATAGATGTATACGTCTCAGACACCTGAATTCTGAAGAACTCTTTCACTTTGCATGGCATCATTTCAGAGAGCTTTCTCTTGGCTCTGTAGAATGTCTTGCTCTTGGATGCCTCCTTTTTTGTGCTACGGTAGACATCAGTTATCAGATTCCTGTACGTATAGGACTGCCACATAAAAGTGTTCATAAGAATACTGCTAATTGCTATTTTGAAAACGAACACAAGAATCTCTGCTAGCAGATGAAGGCTCTCGCTCTTTGCTGCTTTGTGCGAGTCGAGAATAATCGACATTGACGTAAGAATGTCTTTGTCTGTGTTTTTAAAGCTGTTCGAGTATGAGAGCAAGAATCCTTCAAATCCAATTGTTGCGTATATACAACAAACCAGCAGTGATCCCATGAGCATAGGCTTTATCATATTCCTCTTATCCATCAGCTCTGTTTTTGAGAGATAGATGGGAATGTTGTGGTGGGTGTTCAGTGCAAAAAAAGCAACAGAGACTGCGCGCAAAAAGTTAAATACGCCCGGATCCTTACCCACTAGGACTCCACTAACTAAATTATAGTTTGGATAGTCAAAACTGAAAGAAAACATGCTGTATACGATGGCTATAATTATTGCCAAAAAAATCGAAAGAGATACGATGGAAACAACAGAAATAATTTGCATGTGCGGACTATCCCCTGGCTCTTTCTGCACAGAGAACATCCACAGCATAATCAGCCCAGCAAGAGTCATTGCAGCTTTCACAATGTACTTTGTTGCATCTGAAAAAGCATAAATTCTATTTTGGAAAAAATCAACATTGCTATACGCCCAGACAGAAATAAGAGAAACGTATATTATGACCGAAATAGCTGACTGTATGGTCAGCGCACACGACAGAATCCAGCGGAACACGCGCTTGTCTATCTTTGCCAAGCGGGTGTAGGTCATGGAGTTTACACTTTTTTCCTCGTCTTCAGGCGCATTGTGCACGTCGATTTTCTGTCTCCGATAGACACACTCTGTTACAGAAATCAAACTGGTATATGAAAAGAGCATAGCCAGGAAAAAAGAAACAACTCCACCACTCTCAAAGCATATGTACAGATACAAGACACCTGCGCCGAGCATAGAGCTAATCATTGACATGTACAAGCTAGAGCCAGCTAGATACGTCTTATTAGAGCCGATAAAGCTTTTTGCAACACTGAAATCGCTTTGAAATGAAAGAATCTCACTCACCGAGGAAAAGGTTCTCTGATGATGGTGTGGTGCTTCTTCGTGGTTGTGCTGAGTCTCTTTAGCAACAGATGGCCTTCTGCCAGTCTCCTCTGCCAGCTCTTTCTCTGCAAGATAGCAGCTCTCAGTCTTTTCCATGGTTTTTGAAAAAGCTCTTCTTTTATAATAATCTGCATTAAATCATTTAGTTCGAGGAGATTTACAGAATCACCCCAATTAATTGATGCATACATGGCAGCTTTAAGTGCAGTTGCAAATAATTAAATAGTGTGAGAAATCTTTTCAAATATTAAAATAAAAAAGAGCTCAAATAAAAAGAAAATGCTTCCGTCCGGGATCGAACCGGAGACCTCATCCGTGTGAAGGATGCGTGATACCACTACACCACGAAAGCTCTACAGAGCTGAATAAAAATAAATTAAATTTTTCATGCATGCACTTCTGCATAACAGGAGGGTCAAAGGGCCTGGGAAGAGCTCTTGCTATTTACATTCTGCTGAACAACCACAGAGTCACAATTATCGATAGAGTTTCTTCAGATCTGGACTGCGACTTTATAAAACACGATTTTGCAGAGAATTTGCCTTTTTCCATCTCCTGCGATGTGCTGGTAGTATGCCATGCCACCTTTGATGGATTCAGGCCTTTTGGCAGCTATTCACAGGGATACATCAGCAGGTATCTTCAAATCAACTTACTATCTCAGATTGATCTGATTAAAAACAGCAAGTACAAAAAGGTGGTGTACATAAACAGTGTGCTGAGTATTGCACCCCTGCCCAACATATCCCTGTACAGCGCGTGCAAGGGATTTATGCACAACTTTCTGGAGTCAGTAAGAAGAGAGAATACTCCCGTACTGACCGTATACCCGTACAAAATAGACACAGACCTGTTTGAGTGTGTAAAGTCGCCGTATGTGCTAGAAAAGAAAATAATATCCAGAGAAATCTTTAATTCAATTATAAAAGGAGACACACACCTGTACCTGCCCTCTATTTTCAAATATGCCTATATATATGCTTTATTTCCTCTCTTTATACAGAACTACATTGTTAGATTTATTAACTACACAATGATTAACTAATTAAAACTTCCATGCATTCATCTGTTTTGTGCTCTTCTGTATTTACGATGCTCACGTTCTGTGAGTCTTTATTCTATCTACAACTCTGTTTTACAGCTCTCTTCATTATGTGCTTCATTCCACACTTACTCTTGTTTTTGCTTTTACTTCCGCTACAAGAATGATATTCTTATCTGGAGTGGCTACAGCAGATCGTACTCTTTTTCCGATGTTTTTATAACTATCTTGCCGTTTGGCGTGCGTATCTCTTTGATTCCGAAGGGAAAGGTTCTCTCGATCTGTCCGTTCCCAAACTCGTACGTAATTATTGAGGTGTTTGCATCGTACAGATACTTGTACTTTTTCTCTTTGTGCACCACATACACAGAGCCGTCAGAGAGCGTGTACTTTATCTTCCCGCTGCTTTCTTCTCTGCTTTTGACTTTTTTCCTGTTCAAAACCTCCTCGTACTCTTTGTTCAGTCTTTTGAGCCTGTCAATCTCCTCTTTCAGCACCTCTGTCAAGGTGACCTCCTTCTTCTCTTTCATTTTCTCAATTATTCTGTCTATTGCGCTAAGTTTTTCTTTCAGTACGGCCTCCATTCTTATTTAATTTATTTCAAATTGAAAAATTTTATCTTAATGGAGCGAAAAGTAGGCACTGTGACAGTCTTAAAAAAGGAGGACATGCACTCGGTGCAGCAGGAAAACATTAAAGCATCGATATTCCTGTCCAACTTAATCAAAAGTTGCATAGGACCTAGGTCGATGATAAAGATGATACTCACAAGAATAGGCACCATAGAGCTGACGAATGACGGAAACAGCATACTCCGAGAGATTGAAGTGACGCACCCTGTCATCAAATCGCTCATTGAGCTGTCCAGAACCCAGAACGAAGAGGTTGGCGATGGCACCACCTCTGTTGTCATTCTATCTGCAGAGATACTCAAGAACATGAGTGAGCTCTTGAAAAGTGGACACCATCCCGTCTATCTGTGCAATGCTCTGAAGAAAATACTGGACATTCTGCTGAACAGGATAAAGAAGTACTCTATCGACATTAAGTCCAAGGAAGGGCTCTTCAAAGAAGTGGTCAAAAGCGGGCTGAACACGAAGATGTCTCGATACATCATAGATCTCGAAGACATAGCTCTAAGGGCAGTGGCCATGGTGCGCGGCAAGACAATAGACATAAAGAACATACGAGTAGAGAAAGTGCCGGGCGGTAAGATAGAGGAGACTACCGTATTCGACGGAATAATAGTGCAGAAGAGCCTGCTAGACTACTCAATGCGAAAAAAAATAGAAAATGCCAAAATTCTGCTAATCGACTTCCCCCTGGAGTACAGAAAAGGAGAGAACCAAATGAGCATTGAGATGCACACGGGAGAAGCGTTCACACGGGCCCTGGAGGTGGAGGAAGAGCAGATTGAAAAGATGGTTGGCCTGCTCGCCAAATGCTCTCCAGATATGGTAGTTTCCGAAAAAGGAATATCTGACTATGCAATTTCGCTGTTCAAGAAGCACGGAATATCAGCCATCAGAAGAATTAAAAAGTCTGAAAACCAAAGAATAGCACTGGCCACAGGGGCGCAGATAGTCTCCCGGGCTGAGGATGCAACAGCGCAGGCCCTGGGAGTAGCTGGACTCTTTGAGGTGAGCAGAATAGGAGATGAAGAGTATTGCAAATTTATCAAGTGCAAAGACCCAAAGGCATGCACCATTCTGCTAAGGGGGCAATCCCGAGATATTTTGAACGAGCTAGAGCGCAACTTGCAGGATGCCTTGGCCATCACCAGGAATGCGTACAACTCCAGCGCAGTGGTTCTGGGCGCAGGATGCATTGAAATGGCGCTGGCCCACGAGCTGGAAAGTGTGCAGGGTCTTAGCGATAAAGAGAAGAGCGTGTTTACAGCTGTGATTGAAGCTCTGCAGTCTATCCCTGCAGCACTTATCTCGAACAGCGGGAATACCAAGCCTCTTGTCAAGCTGCTGGAGCTGAAGGCATGGCACAGCAAGAAAAAGAATAACTACGGTGTTGACGGAAACACGGGGGAGATAGTTGTATCAGAGGTGTACGAGTCCATCCTGGTGAAGGAGCAGAGTCTAAAGTCCGCAATTGAAGGGGCAATTATCATACTAAGAGTTGATGGAATTGTAAAACAAGAGTAAGAGGTGCGTATGACTAGTAAACTTGCTTGAAACAGCAATTAGACACTTCAAAAGATAGAAATAATTTGCTGAGTGATGCTGCTGAAGAGCTGCCAGTTAAATATGTAAGAGCATTTTATTGCATGCGATTTACCAATGTTTTTATAGTACCTATGCCTAATTTAGTAATAAACCTAGATTAAACTAAAACCGTACTCAACACTTTTCGTTACGCTTTTTAATTTTACTTGCATGATTAGTACACTGCCTGATCAAACAGAAATATGGGAAGGTTTTAGTGTTATTTCTTGGCCCTATTCTCTCGTTGCTAGTCGATCACAACAAATAAATATGTTCTATTTAAATATGGCTCTGTGTGGTTCTGCATGAAACAGAGTGACCGGCTTTTGCCTGTGGCCAATGTGGCAGGAATAATGAAGAAAACGATCCCACCAAACGCCAAAATATCAAAAGATGCGAAAGAAATGATGCAGAAAGCAGCATCTGAGTTTATTGCGTTCATTACATGCAAGGCACAAGATCTGTGCAAGCTGGAAAAAAGAAAAACACTCACAGGAGAAGATCTTGTGCTTGCTGTGGAGCACCTGGGCATGCCTTTGCACGCAGACGCAGGCAGAAGAGTTCTCTACAAGCTAAGAGAGGGATTGCAGTGCGAGCAGGACATGTTCCCCCAGCAGTCTTCCTCTTCTGTTCACTGGAAGCCATACTACCAATGAATAAAAATCTACTTCGAATCTTTTTACTTTGTGAGAACACCGAACTCTTTATTCCACTCTTCATAGAAAATAAGCTCTTTCTGCGACACACTCTTTCTTATGTGGTTCATGGCAGAGAGGAAATCTTTCATGTGGATTCCGCGGATTGTGTGCAGATTTTCCAGCTCGGTTATTTCTCGTACAGGCTCCATGGCTGCTTCTCTGCACAGGTTGTAGATATCTGACCCAGAGTACCCTTCCAGGACATCGGATAAAGTCTCTATTTCCTCTGCGGACAGCATGCATATGTCTTTCGCTATTTTTTTGATCATTTCTTTTCTTCCTTCCTTATTGGGAAGTGGAACATACAGTCTTTTTACAAATCTTCTTCGTGCAGCTTCGTCTATCTCCTGCGGCCTGTTGGTTGCTCCAATCACCAACACATTGTCTTTGCTTTGTTTTGCTCCGTCCATTTGGATAAGGAACTCTGTCTTTATGCGCCGCGTGCTTTCATTCTCCCCTTCTGTTCTTTGCATGAGGAGCGAATCTATCTCGTCTATGAAAATAACTGAGGGCGCCATTTCTGTCGCAACGGAAAACAAAGCGCGCACCATCTTTTCTCCTTCTCCCACCCATTTTGACGTAAGCGAGGATGCGCTGATCGAAAAGAATGTTGATTTTGACTGGCTTGCAATGCACTTTCCTATCATGGTCTTTCCTGTTCCAGGCGGCCCAAATAAGAGGAGGGCCTTTGGCGGGCCTCTCAGCCCCTTGAATATGTCTGGCCGTATCATAGGCCACACAACTATCTCTTTTATTGCGGTTTTTATCTGGGGAACACCGGCGATGTCATCCCACTCCACTTTGTCTTTTGGCGATAGCACTTCATTTCTTATTATTTCAAGGAACTTTTTTTCCACGTTCGATACCTTGTCAATTTCATCCTCTTTACTGTTCTCTGCTTGTGTTTTTTTCGGCAAAGTTTTGCTGACTTCTGGAGGCAGGAGATCTTTTGCAGTGGAAAATGCCGACTCTTTTTGTTTATCGACAGAGGACTCTGCGGGTGCTGGCTTATCTTTCATTAGCGTGCAGTTTGCACACTTTGCTGGCCGAGTATCTGCAACATTTTTCAGCGCGCTTTTCACCACTGTTTCTGCTTTCTCCATTTTCATCTGCACTTCAAAGCATCTGACGAGCTCTTCCACCTCTTCTATTGCTAGCACGGGAGAGACTTCATCGTAATCATGGATGAACGGGGTGTTCTCTGGCCGATTGACGAGCTCATCGAGAAAATACGAGTAATCTTTTTGGAGTATCTTTTTCCCGCTTTCGGGGATGTGTTTCCTGCCGTATGGAGACTCATACTGCACCCCCAATTCTTCCAGAACTCTTTGGAGCGCAAAGAAGTTATTTTGCATTAAATTTTTACGAGTATGTCGGAATATAATAGCAGTGCGTCCAAGGGATTTATGGAGTACACAAAAAAAGAAGCACTTCAAAGGCACGGGAAAGTGTGGAGCACTCTGTACCAGGCGCTGAGCACAGAAGATGCAGTATACAATGTAAAGAAAAAACTAGAAACACTGAAAGGCACGGAAATACTGCTAAATGCATCGCCAATAGAAAAAAATGCGCCAGAAACAGATAAAGAGAATGACTCTTTTATTGGCATGCCCGATCTAAACCTGGACGGTCTTTTCACGCTTCCACTGGATAGCAAGGAAGTACTAACTGACAGTTCGAAAGACAAGAAGCAAAGGTATACCCAGGAAACTTCTTCAAATAGCAGACACAGCACACAAAGAACAAGCAAGCTTGTCATATCTGACAGCGATGACACACAAGAAGATACAGCTGAATATGACAGCACACCGATTGAGAGCGATGAAACACTGTCAAGCGACCAGTTGACAGAAGATCTGAGCGAAGCATCTAGCAGACATACTGAAAGAGAAGAGACGGTTTTCCAAAAAGAAGAAAATCTCTTTGAGGAAGTGCCTGCAGAAGAAACAGGCCTTGAATTCAACCCAAGTGGTGTTAAAAAGGTTAAAACTGCACAAAACTTTAAATGGATGAACTGAAGTGGATTTGTTTTACTTCTGCCTCTGTATATTAGTGGAATATTAAAAAATGGAAACTCAAATGTAACCCAAGAAGTAAAATGTGTAGTTGAGACACTCTCTTAATCTAGTGAGCCAGTCAGCGTAATGACTAAAGATGCACAAATAAATGATCCATATATTTTACATACTCTGCACCCTCTTGTACTCTTTATGCTAAATATATAGCACTATATCATAGCATAATTATTGTGCTGTGTATGGTAGTCTCTCTTTTCTATCTTAAACATTTGCACAGCACATTCTTTCTATAGATTGTCATGTGATTTACATAGTTTTCTGTCTATTTCTGATTAACTGTCAAGTAATAAGAAAACGATTTTAAAATAATGTGTAGTTTGAACAGAGAATTAATATTGCAGAATATTTTCAAATCCAACCAGTTCACAAATAAAAAAGTAAACTTTGAAATTGAAACTATTTTATTTTAAAGTTGTTTTCCTCTTATTGTTTTCGATGTTTATTTATACTGCTAGGCTTTTTACTTCTATATGTCGTATATTGACAGTTGGACAATCTTTGGTGTTCCCACGAGATCTCTTTCTAGCCGATAGAAATACTCTGTGCACTCTGTTGCCAGCAGCTCTCTGACAAACTCTTCGTCATGCGTGATGACAAGGAGCTGGAAGTTGCCTTCTGCCTTCCTGGCTTTTATAATGGAAGAAAGAGCCCTGGCTAAACCAGATATATTTGCCTTGTCCAAATTGGTTGTTGGCTCGTCCAGGGATAGAAACCCACAGTTTACACTGAACGCCTCAGCGAGTGCCAGGCGTATAACTATGGATGTTAAAACCTTCTGTCCTGCACTTACTCTTCCTCGCATGTCTATTTCCACACCGTTTTTCACCATAGAGATGCTGTATGTTTTGTCTAGGTGCGAAATAATCTTTATCTCATCGATGTCTGTTCCTTTGTATGCGAGGTCCCAGATTTCCTTTATTATTGCGTTGACCTCTGCTAGCTTCTCTGAGTGGTATCTTACGATCCCTGCCTGCACTCCCTTGATGTACTTTTCAAGGTCGGAAATGCTTTCCTTCAGCACTTTCATTGTTATGAATACGGACAGTTCATCTGTCTCAGCATTTGCATGTATTTTCACATCTGCCTCGTCTTCTTGTTTCTGTTTCTCCAAATTGTACTCTTCTCCAACGCACTCTGAGATGATTTTCTGCTCTTTTAGAATTGCTTCTTCTATTCCGTCGATTTCTATTTGGAGGTCAAAGAGAGTCTGCTGTGTTGCAAAGCTGCTCTCAATTTTGCTTCGAAGTATAGCTGCTCTGATGGAGTCTTTTACAAGCTGTTTGTGTGTCTGTGCATCTTCTGCTACTCTTCTCTTCTTATTAACAAGTTCTTTTTTATCCTCTGTCTCAATAAGCTGCTGTTTTAGGTCTGTTTCTGCTTTTTTGTGGTCTTCGGTGTACACATCCTTTGACAGTCTTTCTACCTTTATAAATATCTCTTGTATCTTCTCTTTGAAGGATGCTATCTTTATCAGGTTGCCGGTTGGAGGCTGGCACTCTTTGACCATTTCTTTGGCTTTGTATAGCACTGCCTCACTTCTGTGCAATTCCGCTATTTCTGCAGACTTTTCGTGCAGAAGAGTTTCTGTTTTTGTTTTCGCATTTTCCATGTCGTAGTGCTCTTTTTCCAGAGACATTGCTTCGTTTTTGTACTTGTTTCTCTTCTGCATTATTTCTTCTATTTCTTTTATTCTATCCCGAGACTCTTGTTTTTTGTTTTCAAACTCAATGTACTTCTCCTGCTCTTTCTGTTCGCACTTTTCTATTTCCTGCAGCTCTGCCATCTTTTGCTTGTACTTCGCATTGACTATGTTGTAGTCTTCGCTGACCAGATGTATTCTCTCTTCCCTTCTCTTGAGAGCATCTATCTCCTGGTACTTGCCTTTTAGGTTCTTTATAGATCTCATCTGTTTGTTCAAAGTATCCAGAAGGCCTAGTGACTCATCAAGCAGTAGCACACTATCTTTTTCAGATGACTTTTCGCTTGAAAAGTCCTCCAGAAACAGGCTAGATATCTCGTTCAAAAGGACTCTTAGAAGAGACTGATGCTGTTTTGTTTTTGTCCTCTCATTCTCCAAAATTATTTCGCTCTGTATTTCGTTCTTTTTCTTTTGTATGCATTCGAGAATTGTCTTAACTTTCTGGACGTGTCCTTTTGAGACCCCAGTGCTAATGAACGACTTGCAGAACGGACACTCTTCATGCGCTCTATTTAGAAACTCTTCGTATATCTTCTCTGAGGCTGAAATGCCTCCCCAGGACTCGTTTAGATCAGAGAGCGCATCTTCATATCCAGTCACTACATTCATCCTCCCTCCTTCTTTTATTCTCTGGAGTATTTCTGACTTTGTAATTAGTATCTTTCCAGCCACAATCTCTCCTGTTATTTCTTGAAGTATTTTCTCTATTTTTTTGATTTTCATCTGCTGGACTAGCGCAGCAGCTAGATGCTTTGACTCTTTTTGCACTTTTATTTCTATCTGCTGCTGCTGGCTTTGCTGAATTTCTTTTATCTTTGTCTCTAAGCTGCGTATCTTTATCTCTGTTGTCTCCTCTATCTGCAGAATATTTTCCATGGTTGCTCCTGGCTTTACATCCGCCGGGAACGGTATAAACTCCAGCTCTTTCTTTTTTCTGTCTATCTCTTCCTGCAGAAACTCTTTCTCTTTTCGTTTTTCTGTTTCTTTGAGAGCTATTTCTATTTCCCTTTGCAGCTCTTCTATTTCCAGGAATATTTTCTGTTTGTCATACTCCTGGCGCACAAAGGACGTATTTAGCACATTCTCGTTCTCCTGCACTTCTGTTATGAACGATGCATCATTTTCATTCAGGTCTGCATTCATAACTGTTTTTATCTCTTCGAGTCTTCGAACTATATTTCTGTGCTTTTCTTTCAGAATGCCCATCTCTTCTGTTTTTATTCTAATCAGGCTTTCTTTTCTCTGCAGTTTATGCTCCAGCACTGAGTAGATCTGTTCTATCAGTCCCTTTGCGCTTTCTATGAGACACACCTCGTCATCTACAGCAGCCTCTAGCTCAATAGGGCTTTCTAAGAGCGCATTTTCAAGATCGTACTTTTCATTTGACTCTATCAGATAGCTCAGCTGGCTCTTCAGTTCACCCAGCTTTTTCTCCAGCTCTTTTTCTTTTTCCTGGCTTACTACCTCTAAAACGCCCTGCAGCCGCATGAAAATGCTTTTCAAAACATTTCGACTTGCATCTATGTGTTTTTTCATCTCTTCTGTGGTATTTGCCCTATTTTCTAGTAGTATTTCGACCTCAAGCTTATTTTTCTCTATTTTTTCTTTTAGCTCTTCGAACTTTCTTATTTTCTCCAGGACTTCCATGCACTCCATCTCCAGCAGACTTTCTTCCTGCTTTAGGCCCTCCAGATCCTCTTTGCATGCGCTTGGAAGAATGCTCTGCAGCTCGCTGACTGGCTTATTTATCAGCGGCTTGGTAGATAGGCCCTGCAGCTCAGACTGCGCTCTTTCTTTATCCCTCAGCTCAGATAGAACAGTTTCACTCTGTTTTTCTTTTTCTTTCAGGTCAATCTGTGCATTTTTCAGTTTATCTTTTGCTAGGTCTGAAATATTCTTAATGACCGACAGTCTTTCTATTATTCTTGCTATTCTCTGCTCTATCACGTGCTTGTTCTGCGTTCTCTGCTGCAGTGTCTCGTACTTACACGACAGAATCTTTAGCTCGCTTGTTTTTTCTTTTTTCAAGACTGTCAGTGCATCGAGTGCCTTGATGAACCGAGAAGATGAAAATATTCCATCCATTTTCTTTTTTACAACCGACGAATCTCCAAGCGGCCACGTAGACTCTTCCTGGTGCACAAATATCACATTCTCTAGCACAGCTGGCGTTGTGCCCAGGAGAAGAGGCACTTCATTATCCACCTCAGACAGTTTATTGCATATCATCCTTTTTTCTCCATTCTTTATCTCCCAGAGCACGCTTTCACTTGTTCTTGTTTCTTTTTTTATTTTCCCCACTGTCTGCGTCATTCCTCGCACTATGATGTACTCCTTCCCCTCGCACGATGTGAACTTCATCATTATCTGTGCTTTGGTCTCTGTCCCCTGGGACATCCTTGGGTCGTGAATGAATGCTCCGTTTTTGCTGTTGGGAGGAAGAGACCCTGTCGTGGCATATTTCAGAGCTTCAACAATTGTTGTCTTCCCTGTCCCATTGTGCCCCACTATCAAAGTCAGCGGGCTCTGCATTTCAATGGCTGCTGGCTGGTCCTCTGAAAAGGCCCGGATCCCTTTTATCTTTAATTTGCCAATGCCAGACATTTAATTTTAAAAATGAAATGGTTTAATTTTATATTTGGAGCAGCTAACTTCTGCTATTTTTTACAGCTAAAATACTAAACAATGTGGAGTATAACTAAATGACTGCAGAATGACAGTGAAATCTTTTTATTCAGTGCTGAAGTATGGATGAGACAGCAGCCCTTTGGCAGATGGCCTGTCCAATGGATTATAGACAAGAATATCATTTACAAGAGACTGGCACTCTTTGTACCCTGGCAGATCCACTCCTGTTTTTTTCCAAAGAGGAAATTCAGGTTGGAAGTTCTTCAGCGCAGTCACGCCCGACCACACTTGTTCGTTAGGCGTGCCCAGTGTCTGGAATATCTTGTAGATCTGGTCTATTTCAGAGTCACCTGGGAAAAGCGGCTTCAAGAGCGCAAATTCAGAAATAATACAGCCCAGAGACCAGACATCCACTGCCATTGAATAGTTCTTGACTCCGAGTAGCAGCTCTGGGGCTCTGTACCAGAGAGTTACGACTTCGTTGGTTAAGGTGTGCAGAGGTATTCCTATGCTTCTTCCCAGCCCAAAGTCAGCTAGTTTGATCTGGTTGTTTTTTGTGATAAGAATGTTCTGGGGCTTCAGATCCCTGTGCAGCACCCCCACAGAGTGGCAGTACGCAAGAGCAGATGTCAGCTGATGGGAGAATGCTTTTATTTGATTTTTTGACAGGCTTTTCTTGTCTTTTCTGAGCGAATCAAGGTACTTTTTCAAGTCTGTTTCAGCGTATTCGAAGACAAGGTAGAGTTTGTTCTCCGTGTAGACCACTTGGTGCAGGGCAATTATGTTCGGGTGCTTTATATCTTTCAGCAGAGATATTTCTCTTATGGTGGTGGAAGGAACGCCTTCTCTGTCGTCGCTTAGCCGCACCTTTTTCAGCGCTATTATCTTTCCTGTGGTTTTTTCCTTCGCCTTGTAGACAACTCCGTAAGTCCCTTCTCCTATTTTTTCTATTTTCTGGAATGTTTCCGTCATGGGCGATAAAAATAATTTAAAAATTATACAAAAAAACGCTTCCAGCCGGATTCGAACCAGCGACCTTTCGGTTAACAGCCGAACGCGATAACCAGCTACGCCATGGAAGCACATTTGTATGCTGGCCCATGCCTACTTGTTCAGTGGATGCTTACTCACTGCTGGCGCAGAGGCACAGACTGCCTCTCTCCTGCCTGGGGATGAAGGCATGCCTCTCCAGACACTGTGCTGCACGCACGGCCAAAGTTTCAGCTCTTTTTGTTTTTTGCGATTTTGCACTTTCTTCCGCTTAGTAAATAATTATATTTCTTTTTTTTACCCCAGAAGATGTCTAAGAAGCAGTACAAAAAAAGTATTCAGTTGACCAACAGAGAGCTCAAGACCCCAAAGCCAATGACGCCTGAGGAAAGAATGAAGGAAATCAACCCAAGACTGCCACAGGACATAATCAAGTGCGCAGCCAAGACAGAGAAAGCTATGAGCCTAATGGAGAAGAAGAACACAATCATCTTTGTGTGCGATATCAAAGCCACCAAGCCAGAAATAAAGAAGGCAATTGAAAGCTTATACTCAGTTGCTCCCAAAAAAGTACACACAGCTATCACCTTCAAAGGAGAGAAGAGAGCATACGCCATGTTCTCAAATGAGCACAGCGCCATAGAAATAGCCAGTGCAGCAGACATCATTTAATAATAAAAAGTTAGGCTTTGTGATATGCTATTATGCGATGTTTGAGAACTTTTTGCTTTTGATCACTTCTTGTGCGCCAGTGAAAAAAGAACATAAAAATATTTGTGTGAAGTATTGTATTGCTGAGCAGGCTGAAATTAGACGGAATGAAAACGTGCAGAGAGTTGGGCTGCTATCATCACTATCCAGTTCATCTGTATGTTTATAGAAGAGCATGCAATAACTCTCATAGCTCCTTAAATTTGCTGAGTGCTAAGAATACTGCAGTATAGAACACACTGCAAATTCTTTTTGCATATTTTCTCCTCTGTGCTTGCTGTAGCTGTTTAATTAAGAGAATGCTGCAATATGAGAAAGCGCGGCAACTGTGGAAATAGACGCGTCTTTATTGAGACATTCTCCAATTATTCTGGTTATAGACATATCACAGTTTATATAAATGGTGGCGTTTTGAAAAAAGTTACAATGATACATATACACGACGCAACCGATGTTGAGCACATTGATATAACTCATGCTGTGAATGACAACCCAAATAGCAACGACCCTTCGCCCTTTGAAGAAAGACACTTGGCCACGTACAAAAACGTCATTTCATTTATAAAGCTAGCTGTCTATCTGTATATCTCCACTATTTCCATCTCGTACACATTTGACATCTTCTTCATCATGCACGCGAGCAATATTGTATGCTTCTGGAGCTTTGTCTGCTTTGTTGCAGCTCTGTTCTTCACTGTGTGCATGTGGGATGCATACATGGACAGAAAAAAGGAGAAAGCCAGAACACCCGAGTCCAGTGTGATAACTGTGCTTATTTCTCTTTTCCTGATCATTCCAGGCATTGCTGTGGGCAACCCATGGACAGCCTTCATTATAACAAACTGCCTAACGAGATCATTGGAGTATCCTCTAGTGGCTGGTGGACATCTGCTCTTTTATCTGATCTCCAGCGAGTACTGCAACAGCTCATTTGGCACTTTTATCAGCATAATACCCGGCATAATTTCAGTGGTTTCTCTGATTGAGTACGAATTCGACATGTTCTACCAGAAAAAGATAAGAATAACAAAGCACAGAGTATCTGCAACTGGGCTGGTGACTATCTCTGCCCTGATATTTGTGCTAGTGGTGGCTGTCTTTGGCGCAGGCGAAGTAAAACATCAAGCCACTGCAAGACTGCAATGAAAATTATAATTTAAAATATTCTTCATTCCAAATGCTTCTGTGCATGGTAGAGAGTGCTACAGTTGTATATCTAAGTAGGTGTATGGTGCAATCAACATTTACAGATGGGTATAGTCTAAACGCAGTGTAAGAGTAAGAGTGATCTTGTTATTTCTATTTCTGTACAGTGGTGAATGTTTCTACACTGCAGAGGCATAGGATGGAGATATAACGAGGTCTGTGTGGACGTAGCAGCTCTTAAAGTGTGCAGTCTTCAGTTTCTAAGAAATCTGTTTGCAAGAAAATTTTTAGATCAGATAGATCAAATTAAGATAAATTGGGTCTCTTCAATAAATAATTTTTATTAAAATTAAATTTTATTTTAATTCGCATCAATGGAAACTTTACATCTGGCAGAAAGTATAAACAAGACGACAGGATGGAGATTTCCAGTAGTGGGCATAAATGTCTCTCTTCTGGCAGTAGCTGCTCTTTTTTCCTATACGAAAAGAGGAAGAGAGTTGGAAGCTATCTTAACACAGGGCTCTGGATTGGACTTTTCCATACTCACTCTTGCGCTCACTCTTTCTCTGATGGCTGTGATTGCGTACACGTACGGAAGTGCAAGAGTCCACGCATTTAAGCAAAAAAGTGACATAGCTATGCTGGAGACTGTGCTAGGAGTGATGGGAATCGGCATAATAGGAGGAGTTGGCGCAAGCCCCATTTACATTCTCCTCTGTTTCCTTACGCTTCTTCTACTGAGAAGTGGCTCAATATACAAATACGAGCTGCCCGCAGCCTGTGTGCTGATAGCCAGCAGTTTTCTGCTGAGTAGCCCCGGGCTGTCGGTAAGGACCACAACGCTTTTGCTCTCCCTGGGAATGTCGCTTTCCATTTTAGGAACTATCAGCCTCGAGTCCATAATCAAGAACAGAAGCATCAACATGTTTGGGTACTATTTTATGCTGATAAGTGCCCTTCTGGGCGCATTCATGTATAGCCCCATTACCTTCATTATTTTCCCAATTGTAACGTTCTGCAACTTAAACTCTCACGCGATAGGGAAAGTAATTAAAAAAATTCCCGTAGTCTCAAGTGTCAGAGAGTACTACGCGAAGATAATGAAGAAAAGAAAGGTTAAAATTTTCTTCACATTCTTACTAAAGGTAACCAACATAGTCCTCCTTGGGAGCATTATCGCGTGGTTTGTGCTCCACTTTTCAGCCTGGTACACCAACAATCCGAAAGTATTGGGAATAATGGGAATATCCGTTAGCGATAACTCGCCGATATTCATTGGAATTGCAGAGAAAATAGGATACCTACTGGACACCTTCTACACGCTGATACACACCGTTTTAAGAGCTGTACGACCAAAAAACATCGCACTATTTTTGCTGAACTCAGTGAGAATAAACCCGCAGAAACCTGTAGTTCCAAACAGCCTAATTAAGCAGATAGTAGCCATACTGTACAGGATTCTACTGGTAGCTGACAATGCAGTAATGGCAATAACCAAGCTAGCAGGCACTATCCTATACGCAGGATGCTACCTAGTGATCAACCTATCAGAGGTAGCTGGATTTATGGCCAATATTGCAAGAAATCTCTTTGCAAAAACCATATACATCTTTGAAACAGCGATGTACTTTTTGCTAGGCAGAAGAGTGGAGATAGCTCCAACTGTTTTAGAGCCATCGATGAGTTTTTCGCAGACTATATTGGATGCCATGCTACTTCCATTCAGACTAACAAAATCACTCTTCAGCATGACAATGAGGAGAAGAACTCCTCCAGTTGTTGTATTGCAGCCAGAGTTACCAATAGAAGGAAATATTCTAACGGCATTTTACGGGCTGCTGATGAATCTCGTGCTGGTGCTGTTCTATGGATACTACTCTGTCGTTGTGTCTAGCATTGGACAGTACATCGCATCAGACAAAACATTCATGCTTACTCCAAGGGGAATAAAACCAATTATAAACGAAGATGCAGCATACATACCAGAGCACATAAATAGAATTCCCAGAGACAACTTCTACCAGAAATACTTTGATCTATACTGCGATCAGGTGGGCATATTCTCCCGTCTGAACGAGAACGGAGCATACTTTGAGCAGCCAGTCATCGAAAGTGTAGATGAGAACGAAAAACAGAGTATGTCCATCGAGAAGTACACAAAAGACCAGGTGTGCAAGCCTGTGTCCTCTTTTGAAGAGGAGCTGCAGAGCAAGATATCAAAGGTAGGGCCTGTGGGCGCTAGATTCAAGCTGGATGAAAAGTTTGGAATAAAGAAAATTCTCCAATACTTCCCCTCCATCAGAAGCACAAAGGAATTTTCAGAGAAAGAGCTGAAGCTAAAGAAAGCAGTAGGAGACGCGAAAAAAGAAATTAAAAAATTCAAAGCAAAGAACTCGCACTTTGACAATATAATGGGAAGAAAAAAGAACGAAGGCGAAGCTCTTGCTAAGGCCAAGGCCATTTTCAGCAAGGCGCAGTCAGACTTAGTGCAGTACTACACCAACTACTACTACAATATGTACACTCTTGCAAAACATTTCCTAAATGAGATAGATCCATCAGTTGCCAACCTGGTGTCTGGCTCTGCGATAGGTCTGTACAATAGCATACTGCCTGAGAAATACCGCGACATCTCTGACGAGTACTTTAAGTCCATCATATCTCTGAGAACAGCCCTAATCGAGAAAGAGCTGCCCTTCATAACTGAAATGCAATCCGCAAAAGTTTTCTGCAAGCCGCTCTTCCTTGATCTGCAGCTGAGAAACAAGATACAGACACAGAGCCCAAGGGAAGGATTCTTTATCCAGGGCATTTCCGACAGTGTAGTAGATTATGAAAAATTATCAGCTGAGGAAAAAGGCCTTATCGTGTTCCAAGAGCTGATAAGCATCAAGAGAGACGCAGACTACATACACTTTAAGTCTGTCGTATCAACAGATCCAACTGTGAAAGTTCCTGCGCATACAATAACCGAATCTACCGGAATAGATATTGCAATTAGAAACGAAGACACAACGGTTGTATCAGTTTCTCTGAACAACAAGCCAATACTTGCCAGCGTTATTCCAGAGGAAAACACAGGGCGCGTGCTGGTCGATCTAAAAATACCAAACAGCTTGGTCAAAAATGAGTCCAATGTGATCTTTACAGTGCGCATGTTCAGAGGACATACATCACTCGTTCACACAGCGACATACGCAATTGCATAGTCAATTAATAAAACTTTATACCTCATATGAAAAACAGCTGATATCTAGAATTCATGTCTAACTTGTATCATAAATATACGCAGATAATCTTTATTTCAACTATATATATAATGCCTCGCACAGGTTGTCTATATCAAACGGCAGCAGATCAACATTCTTCTGGCCTACTCCTATAAATACTACGGGCTTGTTCACTGTTTTTGCGAGACTGATTATAGTTCCCACCTTCTCATCAACTGCATCACACTTTGTTACGATAATGCCATCTATCGACTTGTCAACGCATGCTCTTTCTATGTAATCATTGAATCCTTTGATTTGGTCTATTGAATCGTTTCCTACGAGTGCCTCACCTACATAAAAAATTTTATTTGGTTTGTTCACTCGGATCAGCTTCGATAGGGAAAGCATTGCCTGGGTGTTCCCTGGCATACGGCCGCATGTATCAATGAGCACCACGTCGTACTTGTGCTCTACTGCATGGGATATTGCTTTGCTCGCAATAGCTGCTTCGTCTTTTTTGTATCCTTTTTCATACAAAGAGATTGCATGGCCTCTAGCCTGGTATCTTTCAACGTACTTTTTGAGCTGTTCTATTGCCCCACTTCTGAAGCCGTCGCATGCTGCCACACAAATTCGGTACTTGTTCTTGAGTATCCAAAGACAGAGCTTTGAGAGAGTGGTTGACTTTCCAACTCCATTCACTCCAACCATGCAAAATACATACGGGCCCTTTGCAGTCTTCTTGTGCGCTTCTATCTCTTCTATTATTCTATCAGGAGATATTGTAGGAACTATTTCAGAAATTACCCTTTTGAAGCTCTTTTTTAGCCTGTCCACTTCAGAGTCATCTCCATCTTTATCTTCATTCTTCATCACAGACACTATGTCGCTGGCTATTTTTCTGCTGAGCACGTGAGGAATATTTCTCCCGAGAAGATGCTCTTGAATGGATTGCTCGCTTACCTCTTTTTTCTTTGTGAAGAGCTTGAGAATGCTTTCCGGGTTCTTCCATTTGCTCCATCCAGTGGGCTCTTCGTCTGGGTCTGAGTCTTCTGCTTCTGCATTGTTCTCTGCCTCTTCTTCTTCATTATTTTCGTTTTTATCCTTGAATATGCCGGATAAACTCCGCGAGTTTTCAGACTTTTCTATTTTATTTTTTGCCTCACAGACTGCTTCTTCGATCTCTCTTTCAACTTCTGCTTCTTTGTACACAGCCAAGTACACATTGCTGGGGCCGAATGTGTAGGTAATTCGATCATTGCGCACTTTGACTGTCTGCACAGTGGAGGAGGGCTGCAGCGCCTGCAAAAAGCTTTCTAGATAGGAAGGCCTGGACCCTATCTCTCCCAGCACAATCCCTCCTCGTGTGCCAACTAGTCTGTACATAATGCTTTCTCTGTTCTCCATGCGAAAATAAATTACAGAATTAAATATTTTTCCATCTTATAGAGCAGCTGGTAAAATGCTATTTTTATCCTGTTTGTTCAAATGTAGATCAGTCTCTATTTTAACTGATTTAATAGCATCTAGATAGAGATAATTAAGAGTGCACTCAGCAAAAAAGGAAATGTGTTTTTTGGAGGAAGGAGTATAGTTTCATAAGTAATTTATTCAAATGTTACATTTTTATTGCTCTAATTGGCTAAAAAGGGTATATGCTTGGCACGTACTTTTTCACCATGCAGCAAAGAAAAGACAGCAGAATGCCAATGCACAGCCCAATGGGCAGATCTTGTGTATAGAGGGTAGGAAGAGCCACACAGACTGTGAAGAATATGGAATACGCGCCTTCGTTCCATACCGTTATGATAGAGTCTTTTAAAATGTCAAAGCCAATGAAAAGCAGAAGCATGTCCAGACAGGCCTGCGGAACAAAAGAGAAAAATGTCTGGCCAAGAATGTACAGCACAGAAAAAATAAAAACGAGAGCCAGACCGTCTATTTTTTTCGTGCTGACTTTGTTTCTGTTATATGCGATGGTCGAAGAGGACACAACGTACGTTGAAAATCCTCCAAAGATCGTGCTAAACATATTTGAAAATCCATTTGATAGCAGCTCTTTTTCTGTGGATGACTTTACGCTGCATCCCGTTGTGATTGCTGGAATATTGATGGGGAATTGCACCAAGTTAATGAGAACTATGCCTGCAATCTTCAGGAAGCCGTTTGCATTGAATATGAGGCTCCATTGTATGCGGTCAAGCGAGAACTCATGGAACAAAGGAAGGTCAAAAAGCGCCATTAAGTTTTTCCCCTGGGAGGGCAAGAAACCAGCTGCTCTAGCTTCTTCCACTCCTCCCCAGAAGAAGAAGATTGGAATGTAGGAGAGGGCTGTCAAGAACAGAAAGTTGACAAAGTAGGAAAAAGGCCCAAATGACGGATATCTTTTACCAATGTGCTGCGATAGCACCCACAGTCCCAGGCCGCCAGCACTGTATGAGGCAATAATCAAGTACTTTGTGGCACTTGAGTATTTAGATCCAATGTCTATCATCGATGCATTGCCGTACACACAGCAAAGACACCCTATAACAAAGAACAGCACAGTGCCTATTTCTTTGGGGATCTTCTCAAGGACCCTTTGGAAGCCCAGAAGATACAGCGTGAAAAAGACAAGACTTGTCAAGAATGTCGATATGGTAATGAATGCGATGACTGTGTAGAACAGCTGCGGCCCGTAAAGATTGTTGTTAATATGCAGTGATTTCGATAGCTCACCGTACGCTATAAAGTTCTCTGATATGGGCGTAGTTATGAGCCCCATCTTGAAAGACGAAAAGACAAAGAACAGAATCTGCGAGCTAATTGCCCCAACCACAAAGAGCAAGCTGCTGTATTTTTGCAAATCCATCCCCTGGATGCTCCCAAAGCCAATTCTTCCAACTGTCATGGTGTCCATGAAATAGAGCAATATTCCGAGGAGACAGCACGACAGCCTTTCTTTAACCGTTGTCTGATATTTAACTTTCCTTATTTCTACTGCTTCGATCTCTTCTTTTACAAAACTTGTTTCTTCTATTATGTTGTCTGTTTCCATAAAATTTTGTAGTATCTTAAATTAAATAGCTGCAGTTCTAGGGGTTAATAAAATAAATAGCTAATTTTTCCATTGGCTCCGTCACATTGTTCTTCTCCCATGCTTCTGTCTCATTCTAATCCAGCAGGCAGTAAGTCATCAGATATCACAGTGCAAACATACGTCTATCTGATTTAGCAATTGTTCTAACGGTAAAAAGTAAACTAGCAGTTTTTATCAAAGAATAAATGGTTTTATCTAAGATCAAATAAACTTGCTGATTATTCTTGTAGTACATACTAACAAACAGCTATCTTTCTGTTCTTCTATTTGATCTATCGCAGTTAATTCTTCCATAAAAGGTGAACAATGTCCTTATACCGCTTGTTGCCAGGGGATATATTCGCAATTTTAATGTTTTATTTTGAGTTTTATTTTAGTCAGCAACACTGTGCAACAAAATAAAATGTATATGTTCTCTATTTTAAAATTTTCTTTGGCTTTCTGTTTAGTTTTTCTCACTATTATAAATTACTAGAATATGCAGCGTTGTAAAAAACAAACACACTATTTATTCTATGTCCACAAGGAAAAAACAGTATCTCTTATAAGTCTGCATATAAATCAACACCCAATAAAAACAGTGATATATAGATCTTTTATTGTTCTGTGAGAAGACTCAAGGCTATACACTATTAAAATGCAATCTTCTGGATGTTTTAAATGACAAATTGCTTTTTTCAGTAGATTTGATGCTTTTTAATCCTAATTCAAGAAATAAGCAACTGTTCACAAAGCCATCTTACTAGAAAATGCACAGATAACTGCAGAAAGTATATTTCAATACATCCTACAGCTGCAATCTTATCATTTAGCTGTTCTATGCACATTTCACAAGCCTTACAATGGCTCTCTGGTCAATGTGCATCTATACTCTTCTGATTATTCTAGCAGATGTTTCACACACCGCATGACTTCTGTCCACTTTCTAATCTATTTTATTATTAATTTAATATTTTCTTGTTTTCTATGAATACAGAAGTGCTAGCAGAAGACGGAATATTTGAGCACAAGCTGTGCTTGGAAATGGAAAGAGAGCTGGAGCTGGTGAATTTAAAAGAAAAGTACATACTCGAAGAGATAAAGTCTCTGAAGAAAGAATTCCTGAAATCGCAGCAGGCAATTGAAAGAGTGAAGAGTGTTCCTCTGATCATGGGGCACTTTCTAGAGGCCATCGACTCAGACACAGCAATCATAGGAAGTACAGCAGGGTCTAATTCCATAGTAAAGGTTCTATCGACAGTGAACAAAGAGCTTCTCAAGCCAAATACAAGCGTAGCCCTGCACAGACACTCAAGCGCTCTAGTGGATGTTCTACCCCCCGAGGCAGATAATACGTTTTCTGTGCTGGGAGAAGAAGGAAGGCCCAATGTAACATATGCTGACATAGGAGGACTCGACTCACAGAAACAGGAGATAAGAGAAGCGATTGAGCTGCCGCTGACAGACTTAGCACTCTACCAGCAGATAGGAATAGAGCCACCTCGCGGAGTGCTCTTGTACGGTCCCCCGGGAACAGGAAAGACAATGCTGGTGAAGGCAGTGGCTAACCACACGAAAGCAACATTCATTAGGGTGAATGGGTCTGAGTTTGTGCAGAAGTATTTGGGAGAAGGCCCCAGAATGGTTCGAGATATATTCAGACTCGCAATAGAAAAAGCGCCATCGATTATCTTTATCGATGAGGTGGATTCTATAGCCACAATGCGATTTGATGCAGCAACTAGCGCAGACAGAGAAGTGCAGAGAGTTTTGATTGAGCTCCTGAACCAAATGGACGGATTTGACCAAACAACAAATGTAAAAGTGATCATGGCAACGAACAGAGCAGACACCATAGATCCTGCGCTGCTCAGGCCAGGAAGACTCGACAGAAAGATAGAATTCCCAGTTCCAGACAGGAGACAGAAAAGAATGATATTTACTACAATAACCAATAAGATGAGTCTATCGGGAGAGGTAGACTTGGAGGACTTGGTGGTGCGGTCAGATAAGCTATCTGCAGCTGACATTAACTCGATATGTCAGGAGGCAGGCATGCTGGCTGTGAGGAACGGAAGATACGTGGTGGCTAAGGGAGACTTTGAAGCTGCGTATGCGCGAATTGTGGAAAAGAAGAACTCAGAGCACGGATTCTACTACTGATACAGATAAAAATAAAAGTGATGAAAATTTGAAAAGTAACCAATTGTTAAGCAGTCACATTTGTGTGGTTTTTTTGTTCTATCAGCTGATGAAAATATTTATAAATAGATAGGCGAAGTGGAGGGTATGAGGAATGTTTTAATTCACAGAGCTATTATATGCGGTGTAATAGGAATGATACTATGCGCAAAATTATCGGAGGCATCAGAGGCTGCAGGTCTAGTAGGAGCTACACCAGGAGAGTCTCCAGTAATTGCACCGCCAACGAATGAAGCACCAAAAGAGCAATTACCGACTGGAAGTTCTCCATCTTTGGTAGATTTAGCAGGAAAGCCTTCAGCAGAAGGAGCTCCAAAGGAGGAGTTAGCAGGAGAAGTTCCAGGATTAGATGCACCAGAGAAGACAAGTTTGGCAGGGCAGCCACCAGAGGACTCGAAAAAAGATCCTGTTGTAGAAAATATACCGGGATTATCTTTGCCAGAAGAAAAAGAAAAAAAGAAAGAGAAAGAGAATCCACTGGAACAAAAGGGAGGAATGGAGCTGAAAGATCCTAGTATAGAAGATCCAAACGAAAAAGAAAAGAAGGATTTAAATGCTGAAAATGGTGCTATTAACTTAGATGGAAAAGAAGGTATTCTAGACAAGGGAAATAAGATGCCAGAAAATGACATAAAAATGGGCCCAGATGGAAAGCCAATGGATGATAAAGACAAAAAAATAAACGAAAATGAAAAAGTTATAAAAGATGAAGATAAGAAGCTTAATCAAAGTGAGAATCCCTTGGACGAGAAAAATAAGGAAATTAGCCCAGATGGAAGGCCTGTGAAAGATGGAAAAGATAAGAAACTAGACAAAGATGCAAATGGAATTGCTGGAGAAAGTAAGAAGAAGGATAAAAATGAAAAGGCTATGAAAGATGGAAGCAAAGAGCTTGAAGTAGATGAGAAAGAGAGACCTATAGAAGACAGCAAGAAGCCTGGCTCTACTAGAAAGAATAAAAGAAAAAATCGAAGTGAAAAGCTTACAAATGGCGAAGATACTGGTGATGACGTAGAAGGTTTGGGTGAAGAAAGAACAAATAATACTGGCCCAAAGAAGAAAAGAAGAAGAGGATCTAGGTCGAATCGCTCAGATTCAACAGAAGATAAATATGATGACAGACAGAGGGGCGGATCTAGCAACAACAACCATAACAATCCAAACAACCAGAACTCTAGCAACAACATATTTAACATCTTTGGAAATCCAGGGAGACAGGATGACTCATCTGGTAAAAGTAAAAGCATAAAAGATGAGGATAAAAAACAGCCAGCTCAAAATGTAAATAATTCTCAAGAGGGTAGGAGTGAAAAGAAGAATCCAAATAGAAAAAACGATGTAGATGCTGAAGATGTTCGCAGTGAAAAAGAGAAGAGACATACACAAAATAGTGAAAGACCGAATGATCCAGAAGATGACAGACGCTCAGATAAATACAGCAAAGATAAACCATCGATAAGATCTAGAAGAGATGATGTACATACTCATTCACACGAAAATGATAACAGAAGAGTAAGATCTGATGGCATTGATCATACTCATGATGATATACATAATCACTCACATGAAAATAGAAAGAGAAATAGAAGATCAGCTGGCAATAGCCACACTCATGACGATGTGCATACTCATGATGATATGCATACTCACTCACATGAGAATAGGAGTAGAAATAAAAGATTGAATAGCAGAATTCATACTCACAACGATGTGCACGATCACTCAGACAGAAAGAGAAGATCAAGATCAGCTGACAGTAGCCATACTCACGATGATGTGCATACTCATTCACATGAAAATAGAAATAAAAGATCAAGAGCAACCAATTGCACCCACACACATGACGATGTAGAAAATACAGAAAACCGATCTGATGGGTGCAGCGGGTGCTGTGAGCACGAAAATAAAACTACTAGGTCAACTTCCAGAAATTGCAGAAAGAGCGATAGATCGGGTGGATGCTGCAGAGGCGGAAGTAACGACCGAAGCAGTAGCAGATCATTCAATAGAAGCTGTGCACAGACTAACACAGAAGAAATAGGTGACAATTCATGCGAAAACCCAGAAAAGTGCTGTAAGCATGGAAGCGGCAGCCAGAGCTCCAGATTAACTAAAAGAAGACGGTCAAAAAAGCGTGATTCAAAAATCTGCACAGATGAAAACTGCGAAAAAGAAAATGCAAAGCCATCTGTCTGCGATAATTGCCAAAGGTATCCGTGCGAGTGCCCTGATGAAAGAGCCTCCTTGAGATCCAAAAGATCCAAATCAAAAAGAAAGGGCTGTCCAGGAGGAAACTGCAGTGCAGATGATGTAGCGCAAGGGAGAGAGGTAGTGCAGTCCTCCAGCTCAAAAAAGTCAAAAAAATATTCTAAAAAGATCCTGAAATAGAAATCTGCAATAGACTAGCCAACACAACTGAGTTACTACTCACTCAAAGTGTTTACAGAGTGCAATGTTTAAAATCAAAATAAGATAAATAAATAAGTGTCACTGAAGCATTCTACAGTTATACATAATGAACGTATACATTTTATTGAGTTATGCCTCGGCTTAATAGGTCCAACTCTATTCATTTCCCAGATACCTCTTTTGGTCCTTTTTTATCATTTGAAGACGCCTTGTGTGCTCTTTGTCAGGGTCTCTGTGTTTTACAGTCGTGCCTCTGTTGTACAGCTCTGTTTTTCTTTCCATCAGCAGCGCAAAGAGTATTTCCTCTTTTGTAATTTCCTCCATGTTTTTATTTCTGGCCACCGAGCACGCAGTGGATATTAAATTGTCGATGAAAATGTCTGCACCGCTTAGCAGGATCCTTTTAGACGACTCGTCTGCGCCTGTTTTAATCCCCATCTCCAAAAGAATATCGTCGATATCGATTCTTTTGTCCAGAGGATCGTTGTACTGCGGCTCGGTGTGCGGGTACTCTCTTCCTTTTTCCATCTTTCCTGCCACGCTGTATGCAGAAGACATATTCCCTATTTGGCCCTCCTGTTCTTCAGACTTTCCTATAAACATGTTGTTGAGCTCTCGAAGCTGGGAGGTCAACCGCGTTTTTTCATCGAGCAGCCGGGAGATCATGCCCGGGGGTTTGGATGCAGAGCCCTGCAGATACCGATTTATTTCACCCAGCATGCTTTGCAGATGCTGTATTTTCTTCTGAAGATTTTGCTCTTTCATCCCCATAAAAATTTACTAAATAGCTATTCTTCAATTTCATGCTTCTATAAATTCAGAAAATGTTTTCAAAAGCAAAAACAAAACTGCCGCAGGGAAACAACAGCTACTGCTTTCTTTTTGCTGCGATAATGTAATGATGGTGGTGTTTATTAAACTATACTGTGGGCGTAGTTCAGGTAAGATCAGTGTATTAATCTATGAAAGGTGTATATGTCTATAATAGTGTTTATCTGTGCTGGATGCGCTCTGATCTATCAGCCACAGAGTGAGAAAAGTTTCTCAATTGGACACCATTGAGATAGATGGCTGCATCAAAGGAATCTGTACGGGTTTTCGCCTGATTCTGTCTTGATAAGGGCCATAAGACTCTCTGCCTTGGATCTTGTCTCAGCATCCTTTGACTCCAAGAGAATGGCAAAGTATGGAGCGCTTTGTCCGAGTATCCTTCCAATGAACTCGGGAGCCTTCTTGTACATTCTCCGCAGGGTGGTGAATAGGGCTGCTTTTCTTGCTCCTTCTGCCTTGACTATTTCAGCAAGAACCACATGGTTTATTTCTTCTGCGTCTGATGGCTTATTGATCGACTGCGAGTAGAAGAGAGATGCTATCAGAAGAGGCATTTGTTTAGAGTTGCTGACTGATTTAACTGAAAGAGCAGTGATCTTTGCTGTGTCAATAAGCGTGTCTTTTTGGTGCAGGAAAAATCTTCGCATAATTTCAATGATGGCAATGTTCTCGTTTGCCTCCAGAGATGAGATTAGCAGCTCTTCCAATCGAGAGTACACACACGAGAGCGATGCCAGACAGTCGCCTTTCTGGTCATCCTTGGATATTCTCAAGAGAATGTGGATGAAGAGCACAGAAAAACCGTTGCATTTTTTAAGAATAGTGGGCCACACGCTGCTCTTGTTCTCAACTGCAGGGAAGACTTCGACAAGCCCTTTAGAAGCAGCGTGTTCTTCTATGTGCTCAATGTAGAATGCAACCAGGCTGTTTATCTCCTCAGTTTCCAGTTTCTCTAACTTTGATCTCACATATTCTCTGAGTATAATTATGTCCTGTCTGGTTTTCACTTCTTGCATGACGTATCTGATGTCTATCTTTGTCAGGGGCGCTATCAGGCCCTTCTTCTTTGTTTTCTTGATTAGTCCTAAAATGTCGGATGTGTATGGGTGCATAATGTTCTTTTCTCTTTTAACCAGATTTCCAAGAATGGACGAAACTATATTTGGATTCTCCGTGCTTTCTTTCAGAACTATCTTGACAATGTACTTCAGTCTGGACTGTATGTAGTACCTGATCAGAGATGACTTCTTGTCCTTTAGAATGGCTAGTATAATTGGAAGAGAGTTTTTCAGGGTCTTCTTCATGAGAAGAGATCTAAAAAGTAGAACTTTTGATTTTGAAGATGGGTTGTACTTAAGAACGTTAAGGAGCGCAGACTGGTCTGATATTCCTGCTTTAATGAAGGCAAGTAGGAGATCAGTTGCTGGCAGATTCTTTTTAAGGTATCTGGAAATAATACCTTTTACAATGAGGCTCGGTGTTTTCTTGAGCTTATCTGAAAGAAGAGCTGGCACGCCCTTCATTGGAAGAATGCTCTTCTCCCAGTTCAGCAGAGAAGGCTCGTATATGCCCATCTTTCTAGCTATTACCAGCGCGTTTAGCAGCAATGATCCAACTTCCATGTTTTCATTACTATCTGCACTTGGCGATATTTCTGATTGTGAGTCGAGCATATTAACCACGCTGTCCAGCAGCAGAGCAACCGCGTACTGGTTTCCTTCTGGTAGAGACTTAAGGAGCATGCCAGGTGTGCTGTGTGCACACAGGGCCTCGAATAGCAGGGGATTTCCGTTCTTATTCTGCTCTATTGCCTCCTGGATTATTTTAATTTTAATTCCGTCTTCCAGGCTGTTAAACACTTTTGCGAGACCGGATAACAGCACTGCTACATGCGATGTTGCAATGACTGCAAGAATGCTCTCAGATGAAAGAGTGCCGAAGTACTTTTCAAAGACGCTCTCCACCAGATCAAAGTTATCTTTCAGCAGAACATTCATCATTTTTGCCTCTACTGTTCCCGGCACCGTTATTGAATTTGTGATAATAGTGCCGAACTCCATTAGATCTAATGACATGGCTGATTTGTATGCAAGCAGAGAGACTGTTGTATCGATGTCGAATGTGTCAAGAGTCTCTAGGAGAGACATCAGCTCGCTTCCCAGGATCTTATCCTCTCTAGTTGATAGAATTTCCAGTATGGCTTTAATGCACCGTTTTCTTTCTGTCTCAGAGAGCCGCACAATGCTTTTTTTCATTGCAAGCAGAGACTCAGTAGATGCACCTAAGTCACTAAACAGATGGATAATGAACAGAAGCTCTGTCATACTGGCTTTCTTTTTTTCCCATTTTTTCTTGCTTATCGCCAGCAGATGCTGTTTTTCTTCAGGCGATAATTCCATTTTTAGCGGAGTGTAATCAGAGTATTTAGATGCTATATCAACATACTGCAAGAATGAATCGATAAACAGAGCTTTGTCAATGTTCTGGATAAATATGGGCACAGTTGTCTCCTGGAGGAATAAGCACGCACTCTCCCATGCCGTAGCTTTCAGAATCTCTGATGCCAGTGTTCCGTTGGATAGCACTGGAAGAAAAACCGACAGCACTGTTTTCAGGTTTGCAGTTGTGTCTATTTTCTTGAATATCCATTTTTCCAAGTACGTGTTTGGAAGAAGCTGGTAAAACTGTTTTAAGAATTTTTTGGAGAAAATTTCACCTTCCTTCTTCTCTTCCAGGCTAGCCAGAATCGAGATGGCGGGCTGCTTTTTCACGAGCTTTCCCCATCTGCTGTCTGTGCTGGCAAAGCCTATAAGCCAGGGCTTGTCCTGGAACAGTGCGACTAAGCTTTCATCGCTTATCAAATTATTGAAGATTATCTCCCCCACTAGCTCAAGCCAATTTGAGATCTCTTCTTTCTCTGTGATGATCTGGTAGAGGAACTCTTCTGGGTACTCGCTGATGATATCTTCTGCTGCTCCTGTTCTTTTGAAGTGCGCGTAGAGTGTTGAAAATCTGTGCGATACTTCTGCTACTTCTTCAGGCTGTATCTCAGTTGGCTTCTCTCTGAATGACTCGATTCTGTCTTTTATCTCGTCTAGCAGATCATGACTCCTGGATATCTGGAAAAGAGTAGACTCCAGTGGCTTGACTATCAAATCTGTTGATTTTTCTTTTACAAGCCTGTCTCTGCACTGCATCACAGAGTCGATCCACTGCCCTATGATCTCCTCTTGTACTTTCTCGCTTTCGAAGAGACTGCATGATACTGCCTCCAAAAACACTACAAAATTAACGGTGTCATTCTCTTCGCTGATGCTGCTCAATGGCTTCAGCAGGATGCTATTCAGTGCTATGGACTTTGCCAGTACTCTGCCTATGTGCACTGCTATGCTTCTGCAGGCAAGAAGATCGTGCGCTAAGTTTTTCTTTTCCAAACTGCTTTTTACCGAGAGATAGAGAATCTCTTGGAGTGCAGGAACTCTCAAAGTGCACACCACCAGATGGTCAAACTCGTACTTATCGATGCGGTATCTTCGTATCAGCCATTCCAGTATAATCTGTGTGTGCTCGTGGTGGGAGTACGGTGCCAGCTCTTCCAAAAACATTTTCATTCTTTTCGAGAGACTGCTGTTCTCTTTTTCAGTCAGCCTGTCTCTTCTTGAGTCTTTGCTTCTGCTATCTGCGAAATATTCAAAGTACTTCTGCGTCTTCTCGTAGAACTTCTCGTGGTATATAGAAAATAGCTCAACGGCCTCTTCCACACGCGTGTAAAAAAGAACATCAGGGTCTTCTCTCCACTCGTTAAAAAGAACAACCTTTCTTTTTTCTGTGGTGCATTGCTCACGCACTTTTTTTAGTTGTTCTGCAATACTCATATGAAAAATTTTACTCTCGATAATTAAATTCTTTAATTTAAAATAACCGCTAATTTCTACTTCTAGCACCCTTTCTCTGCGCACTCTGCACACCACTGCTCACACAGAGAAGCAATGCATGCACATACCCTTACGATGTGGCTGATTTATCTTTACGTCCTCTAAGAATTTCTTTGCTCATAGCCTAAGAGCAATTCATAAGAGGTTGCAGGCCGTATGGTATAGATTTTAAACACACAGAATATACATGAAGATATTCATAAGATCTATGCAGCAGATTATTTTCTCACTAGATCTTCTAATGAAAATACTACTGAGTTATACGGATGAGAAAATAGTCCATTGCAAAGAGTAAAATATGTGCATTTAAATAATTACACAGCAGTCAGATGTTCTCGCAACAAAAACTCTGCTGATTTGAATAAAAAACAAGACTGCACATTCCAAATTTATTCACTGGCTATCATCTTCTGTATGGTGTGCAGAATCTCTTCAGCCTGCTCTCCTATCTTGTCCGTGCTGTCATTTGGTGTCTTGTACACCATCATGTTCTGATGGTTGATTCTGCACCGGAGATCTCCTCGCAGTATCATGCCCTCGACATCGGACAGCATGTACTCCTGCCCCACTCCGAAGATAGATGACATCTGCTTGATCGAAATAGCCTTATAGCTCATGAACAGCTGGTTGTACGACCTTACCTTCATTCTGTACACAAAATAGTCTACCTTGTCAAAGAGATACGCATTGCTTCTCAGCTCCTCTGCAAACTTGCACATACTCACAAATAGTGTGTCGTATTCGCACTTGTCCAAGGACATTAGCAGATCGAGCGCGCTTGGAACATCCTTTGCTGCATCGCACACTTCGCTTGACTCTACAAGCTTGCTCCGAATGCTTTGTCTAGATAGGCCCATGAGGCCGCAGAACAGAGAGTATTTGACGAGCTCTGAGTACGTCATCAGCTCTCCTCCTTCAAAAGTAGAGAGCGCATCGATCAGCAGATTAGACGCTGTGTCGTATTCGCACTTTAGAATGTGGTACAGACTCTTGTACACTTTGAACTTGTTTTTTCTTCCCCAGTCAATGCCCAGCTCAATGATCGATTCAATTTCTTCCATTTTTTTATCTAGCTTCTCTTTCCACCCGAGAAGAATGAGCATCCTCACTTGGGCTGTGCAAATGTCAAATCGAAGCATCAGCGACTTATTGTACTCCATCAGACGCCTCGATGCTTTTGCGAACAGTTCGTACTCTACTTCCTCAGAGTATCTACCTGCCAGCTTGAGAAGGTCTTCCTCTGGGAGATCATTCATGTCCACGTCTATACTTTCACCAGAGGACAACTCAGTGCGGGGGAGAATTCCTCTCTCTTCGTACTCTCTCTGCAGTCCCGTCATTTTGTTCCTGCTTAAATAGTCAACTAAAACAAGAGAGTCCTCCAGGCCTTTTTCAACTTTGAATAAAATATCATAGGCCTCCAGTGTGGGCTTCTTAAAACTATAATCCATTTTTTATTCAAACATTCTTGTTTATTTATAGAATAATTTTAAATTCATTAGAATCCGCTCGTAAATATCTGTGTAGAAAGATGTAGAGTGTAAGTGTAAGAGTGTTGAATGTATCAGGTATTTATTGCTAGAAAAAGTAAAGCATGCTCCCAAGTCCTCGAAGACCACTTTTGAATTTCTTTGTGCTGTATGCATACATGAAGAACACGAACGCAGCGAGCTCTATTAAAGTAATTGGCAGTCTGAGGATGTACATCCAGCTTCTGCAGATCATAACAGCGAATGTGCTAGCCAAATAGGCTATGCTGTATACGAGCATGTCTTTTGCGAAAATGTTCTTGAAGAATGTCTTGAATCCGCTGAAGAAGCTGAGAATGACGAGAACAAATATCGAAAACATCGAAAAGTTCCATCCAAACGCCTCTGGTGTGATGGGCAGAGAAATAAGAGACATTACTGCTCTGAAAAAGAAGAACATCGAGAGCACGGCAGAGATGAGCATGCATCCAGCCTTCTGCTTTCTCGACAGCCCAAGAGTCTCCAGCAGAGAGCTTTTCTCTGCAAAGAAGTCTGCGTACGTGAACGGCAACACCTCTTCTCTCTTCTTAAAATCTTTTGCTAGTTTTAGTGTGTCCAATGCTCCCTGCATTGTCTTGTTGAAATTCATAGTTTGAAAATTTGCAAAACTTAAAAACAAATAAATAACCAATCATAAGATAAGAATAAAACAGAAAGCATTTGGTCTTTTAATGTAGATAGTGTGCGCTGCAATATCGCCTTACTTCTGGACCATGTATCCTATGACCAGGGCTGCTACTAGAGCCACTGCGCTAATTACCGTCTGCAGAGCAATTGAAGATCCAAATCGGCCTATGATGTGCAGCAGCATTATATTTGCAATAAAACATATCGAAAGAATGAGAACGTGCGTTGGCTGGAGAGTAAGATAGGATGGCTTTGTGGTGAGGAAAGATTTGATCGCGGTGTTTCGGGTGCCTGCGAGTGTTTTGCTTTTTACTGAAAGTTCTTTTTTCATTTGGGAACAAAAATATTTTACTATTTAACTCTTTAATTAAAAGAGCATTTTGCGCTTATACTCTCCACTGCCTCTATCACATCTCCACTGAATGCCATGGAAAAAGTTCTTCTGCAGCAGTTATCGTGCTGAAGGTGTAATAGATACATAATTAGTCTTGCTTTGATACTTTTGTGGTTATTTGATAGCTTTATTGTTAAATAGATAGTAAGAGTGGCTGCAGTCTTCACACATGCTGCAGAGCTTGAAGATTGCAGCAACCTTTCTTTTCTTACATGGTAGAGTGTGGTGGCCTTTACTTTGTGCATCTTTCCAGATGTTTTGTGAAGACAACGCTATTTACTTGAGTATTGCACACCTTGCACTGTATTCTGATCATTCCCTGCTTTCTTTTCTTTATTTTTCCCAAGTGTTTTAGCTCGCTGCTCAGCTCAGTGTTTATTATTGTGTATGCTATTTTCTTGATGATGTTTTCCATGAAAATTAATTCAAGAATGCACGAATGCTAAAAGTGTTCAATTCCTGTTTATTTGGCAGATATACCATCACAAATTTAAAATAGATAGTGTGACCAGAAGGCTCTTCTGTGTGTGATGGGGTGGTTCTCTGTGCTGCCTCTGCTTTAATCAAGGCACAGAAGAGGTTGTGCCAATTCTTCTTTTTCTCTATTTTCTCTTTTGCTTTTTACATTCTCAATGAAAGTGCAAATACTTGGAAATATTGAAAATGAGCTGAAGAATGCGCTGAGCAGCAGCCTGAGCAGACACAAAAACATCAAAGACGTATCCGATGAAATAGGAAAAGAAGTGGGGTATTTAAACGACACACAGATAGAGTATATAAAGTACAGCCCAATAATGAACCAAATGTTTAGCACACCAGCCATCATAAAGCTGAAAAGATCCAATGTTAGACACACGATCAATGCATCTCTCTCCAACAAAAAGCCCGTGCTTAAGTACAGCGGAGTTGCGCATAACATACTCCCCAGTCTCTTTGGCTACAACAGAGTCTCTGTGGAGAGCAATCTTCTTTATCTGAAGAGCACTGTTTCTCTTTTTAGAATAAACCGCTCTTACGGCCAAAAGACAGAAACAAAAAAGAAAACAGGAGTAGTAGACGCGCTAGCTAGTATTAATAAAAATGTACGCAATTCTCTATTGATCAACTATGTAAATGTGGAAGCACAGATTGACAAAATAAAAAGATCATTTGGCGTGGAGTATGCCATAAACAGCGCAATGAAGATAGGAGTAGAAGCTGAAAAAAAAGACGGCCAAATAAACAGCAAAGCTGAAATGTCTGCGAACCCTGTAGACCACAAGTACTCGAAGGTCATAGCCACCGCAGGAGTCTACAGAGAGCACAAGGAGTGCACAGCCCTGGAAAAAAAAGAAGTTATGGATGCAGTTAAATCAGAATATAAAACAAAAGACTCTTACGATTACAACGCAAAGCTAAGTCTGTACTTTAAGTTTGTATATCCTATCATGGATGCAAAGGCTTTGTGCCAATCGATAGAAAGCAAACTTGGCTCCAAGAAAGCAGGGCCTATAGCATATATCCAAAGCCTATTCAGAGGAAAAACATCTGCACAAAAAACAAGCAGCTGGCTTACGCACTACTTCCAGCAGTCTACGATGCACCTTCAAGGAGAAGTAGAAAGCTGCAAAAAAGTTGGAGTATTCACAAAAGAAACAACCAGTACGGCAAAGGCACTGGGCATGATAAAGTATGCTATAAATAACTATGGAGTGATGGGAGGCATTTTGGTAAATATTGAAGAGAGCCCTCTACACAGCACACCTTTGGCAAAAAGCATTAGCCCGCTGCTGGGCCTCAGCTATATCCCAAACAGTTCTATCATCGACAGTGCAAGTATATTTTGGCCCTGGGATAGCATAAAAAAGAAAAACGGTATTCTCAACAAGCTGTACGCCTTCGAAATCAACATATCCAAGGAGTATTAAACCATCTCGCTTAAAAGAGTTCTAACTGTAAAATAAAAACTATCTGATTAGTTGCCTATTAACAGACTTTATCAACTGTAAAGCACAAGATTTGCTTTTTGCATCGGCTGTGATTTTTTAGCACACATGCATTTTACAAAAAGATTGCGCTGGTGTGCACAAAAATAAAGAGTTTTACATTGCTCCTTGGACATTCCAAATTTTTTTAATTTAATTAGTATTTTTACTCTCTTCTGGCACTTTCAGAGGACTATGGCACGCCCTAAAAAAGAAGGATCAAAAGGCAAAGAAATGAGATTAAAACTGCCTGCAAGAGTTGAGGATTTAAGAACAAATAATAAGGCTATCTTTCCACCGAAGACCAGTACACTGATGGAATACATCAAAAACAAGCTCTATTTTGTTGTGGCACTGTTTAAAAACCTTTACTTCATTATAGTGGGGGATAAAGCGTGTGATCCAAATAACATCAAGTGTCTAAAACTAATCATAAAAGAGGCTGTGAAGATAAGAATGGAACAGAGGTCTGCAAACACAGATGGTGCTGTAGACACGGATGTTGTTATAGACACGGGTGGTGCTATAAACACAGATGTTGCTTTGCAGGAAAATAAAGACGAAAAAAAGAATGCTGATTCTACTGATGCTCCTCAAAAAATAGATGAAAACACTGGCAATCATCAATATAGCACTAGCACAATGAGGTCGGATAAGTTTAGAGATTGTGTATTGATCTCTAAACATTTGCAAATAAGACACACTGAAGATCAGACAAAAAGCCTAATTAAAAGATCACAGGGACCAAAATTCAACCCGGCAAAAAGAGAACAGATGGAAGAAGCGAATTTGCAAGTGCCGCTGGATATAAATGTGCTGCAGATCGTTTTTACCCTTATTTTCATTTTTATAACTCTAAGCGCGATAATCTGGTGGATGGTGTTCCTGGTAAAAATAATCTTTATTAACCCGCCCCCCAAGCTGGAAAAGCTAATAGTCTCTGAGCTGACCAAAGAGCAGAAGGAAGTGTTGAACAGATACAACAATCTGTACAGTCCAGACAATACAGGCAATCCCAGCAATAAAAGTGCGCAAAAGTACTACGAGCAGTACTTGCACGATAATATAAACTAGCATTAAATTCAAAGTAAAGATCGAATATCACCGCTGCTACAACTCAATAAATATAGTATAATGATCGCAGCATATTTTTCTCATTTTCTGTGCTTCTTTTTGCTGGCTAGACTATGCAGCTATCTTCTCTCTTATAACTCTGCTAATTTTTATGCGTATAATCATTGAGATGTATAGGATAGCTGTATTGTTTTACAGCTATTTTCTAAATCGCATTTCTTTTGTACATGTGATGGACACTCTAGCACTGTGCAATAAATAGAATGAAATTTACTAAATATTTTTATGGTAAAAGAGAACAAAAATACTCCGAATGTTCTGCAGTGGATAACATACGGCGCCACTGCATCAGCTGTCCTGTACGGGATATACAAATACATAATGCACGACAAAATAACGCCTGAGCGCTTGAAGGAAGAGGGAAATGCACACTTTCTTTCAAAAGACTATGCGGGAGCGCTGAAGAAATACACTGATGCTCTGGAGCTGATTGAGAGACTGGAAAACAGCGGAGGACTAGGAAAAAACAGCGAATATAAAGTAAAAATAATCAACAACATAGCACAGGTTCATTTTGTGATGAAAAACTACAAATTGGCGCAGGAATTCACAGAGGCTGCGCTGAGCCTCAGCCCCACACACTATAACAGCTTTAAAAGGCTGGCAAAGCTGGAAGAAATAAACGAAGGATACGGCGATGTTAAAGGCCTGGCTGTAGTGACTGCCTATCTAATATTAGAGAAACACTGCAGAAAAGAAAAAGAAACAGATGAAAAACCCAAACAAACCGATGAGAAGGCAATATCTGAGTGCAAAGACAGCATGCAGGAGATAAAAGTGCTAAGCAATAAGAACGACGCCGAGACATTCACACCAAGTAAATGGGACGATGTGCTGAGCAAAAAAATAGAACAGCTTTCGAACTCTAAATCATCGCAGATCAAAGAAGATGGGAGCTACAGCGTGTCTTTTGTGAAACTAGAAGAAGTGCTGAGCATTTTTAAGCAGGCCATACAAGACCCCTGCTTTGGAGAGCTTGTAGAGTCTGATAAAAATATCATTAAATGGGTGAACACAAGAAACTACACTGCGCTTGTTGACTATCTAAACAGAGAGCACCCATCAAGATACACAGCAAGAGCCATGTTTATCGCAGGGAACATAAGATACATACAGAACCGCATCCCTGAAGCTATTTCTCTTTTTGAGCACACCTCCACAGTGTACAGCGATGTTCTAGCCATATACATAAGAAAACTGAAGAACATTGGCACGGAAATAGACGAAGAAAAAGCCCTGAAAATAATGAACGTAAAAGACCCCATTATCAGGATGTATCTTGCACAGATGCACCTGGCAAGCAACAACATGGGGCACTATCTAGCGAGTTTAATCGATCTGGAAGCTGAAGGATCCATTTCTCTTCCATTCATAGCAAATATAAAGTCGCAGTACATGCTGCACGAGTACAAGGAGGCCCTGAGCACTCTTAAAAAGGCGCTGGGTTTATTCCCCAAGGATGTGAACATGCTTTGTGTAGGCGTTGAAGTGCTATCGCAGGAAATCAACAAGATCGAAACAGAAGAGGAGATAGACGATGCTTACATTGAGAAAAACGGAAAGTACAAAGAGACATACACCATTTTAGCAGACATTCTGTCCAAACTCAGCAAAAAAGAATTTGCAAACTCGCCCAGAGGAACATTCTTCTGCTACATTGGAAACAGCGCCCTTAATCGACACCAAACAGCCGATGCACTTCTAAATAAGGCAATTGAGCTAGACCCGTACAACAACACGCTTTTGATACAGCTCGGGCAGTACAAGATAAACTCAGGCGACTTGCTGGGATTTGATCTTTTTGAAAAAGCTGCCAAGCTATCTTCTGAGGCATCTCATGAAATATACAAGATGCTCTACACGTACAAAAGTATCTATGCTGTGCAAGAGTACTATCCCCATATCTCGATGCTTGCAGTAAATAACTCACAAAACAGCTCGTCATAGCACCAAACAATATTAACTAGACAAAAATATGTGAATTTGCACAATGTTCAGAAGTGCACATAATAAATGACCTTAATACTATCTTGCATTTTTATCCTCAGTCTTAATAATAATTTTTATTCTGCAATTCACATCCTGTCATGTAATTTCAACCAAGGAAAAATATTCATATAACTGAAAAAAGAATAAAAATGACTAATGCACACTTTCTAGTGCTATCTATAGTAGTGAATGAGAGCTAATAGATGAGTTAATAACTGCAGAAGAAAGATGTCTGGTTTGTTTGTTTTTAAACTCTTTCTTTGAAAAGATATTCTCGGGTTATATTTGCAAATAAACACTGCAATGGAAATTCGATCCCACTTAAAACAACTTGATGGGTAGCTGAGAAAGAAACCAATGGAAACCCCTGTCTTTCCATATTCTGTCACAATAATAAACAAACACTTTCTTCATAAATATTGTGCTTGGGAAATTATTTATGTACACGCTGACAAAAACTTTTATTGCCTCAACATCGGTGCCGCAAAAAAACACTTTCTCTGAGATAAAGGAAAAGCTTGCCACAGGAGAGAAAGATCTCATAATGGATGCCTTTCACTCGGTCTCAGCAAGAGGTCTGCAGGACAGAGAGAAAGCGCAGATATTCCCACACGTGCTAAGCCTCATAGGCCACGACTCCATCGAGGTCAAGTGTGCTGCATACTCTTTTGTTCTTCGCACTGTAAAAGGCGACCCGTCTCTTCTGGTTCTCGCAGTAAACACAGTTATGCAGGAAATAAAAGAAGATTTTGCGCAGACAACTCCCTCGAGTGCTCTGAAGGTGTCTCTTGCTTTTGATTTTGTTTCAAAGATCTCCGATGCTGACTTTCTGAACCATTTTGCCCACAGGATAGAAAAGAGCTACACTGCGCGCTCAGATATTGTCAGAAAGTCTGCTCTACTGGCTGCCCCTGCTCTGTTCAAAGCGTTCAAGGAAACAAAAATTGAAAGCATCAAAGAGTCTCTTCACGAGCCGAGTCCTGTTGTCCTTGGCGCAGCAATCAGTGCGATCATCTCCATTGAAAAAAATGCGAAAAACACTTTTACTGAAAGCGAGCTGGTTTTTTGCTTCAGAGTCCTCTGCAGAAACAGACAAAACATCGAAGAGAGCTACGGCAATTTTGCGCTTCTTTTTACTGATCTCTGCAGAATACTTAGAGGGTTCTCAAACGACGAGGTGATGGAAATGGCCGCACTTTCGATGGAGTTTCTTCCGCTCTTTGCCCTAAAAGAGCTGTCCGATGTGGACTCAAAATCTTTTTCTCCGCTTGTAGCCGAGAGAATAGCCAGTGGGTTAATAAGCTACATGGGAACACCGTGTAAAACAGATGCGCTAGAAAGCATTCTCCATCTTCTGCGCGTGCAGAACGTAAAACTGGAAGTCGATCCGTTTTTGATCAACTGCGAAGACACAAAAAAAGAGAAAATCTTTAAGCTGCACATTCTCTCTCTTTTGGGCAGTAACGAAGGCTTTTCTGAAATGGTTTCTCTTGTTCGAGACCGAGAGTGCGCGTTCCACGCCGTCTGTCTTCTCTTGAAAACAGGGGCTCTGGAAGACGAGCACATACTGACGGGCTTCCAGCACAGCCCAACCTCCATGCTGCGGGCTATCTACACAGAGCATCCTCTCCCCGAAAAGTTTTCTTCCGTGATCGCGTCGATCTTGGCAGAGATGTCCAATGTGTTTGAGAAGGAGGCCTTCCTCTTCCTTTCTGGATACTATCTGAGCAGCGTACCTGAAGAGGCCAACCGCATTAAAAAAATAAGAGGGTATTCGGACCGAGCTCTGTATGGAAAAGAAGAAGAAAAAGAAAAGTCAGAAGAGCACTTGGAAGAGTATTTATATTTTCTTCTAAACATGTACACCCGCGGCATTATAAGCAAAGAAGAATGCACACAAGAAGCACAAATGACCTTTGCAGAAGAGCCGTTCTTGTTTAGCAAGTTTGCACACCTGATCGATCTTCCAGACAGAAAGCATCTGCTGGACCTGATAGCATACAAAAGAGTGCTGCACAAGATCTCAAGAATTCCCTAGTTACTAATCACAATCTAATAAATATCGTTTTATTATGCATCTGTTTTCTTAGAATTATTCTCTGCATATTACTTAAATTCTCTTAAGCTAAAAAGCTGTAATGTTTAAAAGTTTTTGTATGTGTAAATTTATAAAAGAAATTGTATACACTTTTTATTCCAATGGAGTTGCAATTTTTTTAAAACCAATAGGTTACTCATGAGCGAGTATAATATGCTGATATAACTTGAAAAGAGTGGAGAAGCATTGCTATAGCTTGAGATAAGTTCTATCATCATGGCTTATGCCCATAGGAATGGATTTTTTGAATATTAAAAAAAGAGCATTTGCTACTGCAAATAGTACGGCGCTTTTTACCAGCATACTCTTCTTCTTTTCTTTGCTGCTGTACACATTGAAGAAATTGAGGGCAATTCTAGAACCCATCAATAAAAACATTACTATGGAGAGAAGGTTTATAAACACCAAATGAATGATGTGTATGGTGCTGCATAGCTGGGATAAGAGATAGAAGTTAATGTACGCCAATGAAGTAATGACAAGAAACAGCAGCTCAATAAAAAATATAAGCAAGTGCACACTTCTGTCTACATAAACAGCCCACACTCGGTAGATGTAGTTGCCATACAGCATTTCCACAATGTGTTTATATCCAAATTGCACCCCATCTGCTAGAAAGAGGCAATACACACAGGAGAGCATAAACTTGAAATACGCTGGAACTATGTTTAAGTAAAAAAGGTCAACAGACGCAAAGAAAATGAACAACAAAAGCAGAGAAACAAATTTAAAAAAAAGCAGAGGAACTATAAGATGGTACATCGCAATTAGAAAGACCGTGTGTGTTCTATTAGACTTGCTAAATAGAGTGTGCAGCGGACAGTGAGTTACCCTGTGCAGATCAGAGCATGGGCGATTTGCTGATAAAAAACTGCAGAAAAATGAAAAAACACAGTCCATCTGGACACTGTGCCAGGAGAGCCTCAGCGTAGTGCGCAGTGTGCTATACACATTGTACCCCATCAAAAACACAAGGGCATTCCACACGTTTCTGTATCTGTATCTCAAGCCTATGCCTATGTAAGATTCCAAAAAGTTCATAGAATGTTTTTTTCGTGCATATTTAAGACAGATCAAAAAGACCAGAAAGTCTAATTCATGGCGAGCAGTGCTTTCTTATGTTTTATTCGAGAATAACCCAAGGATAAAAATAAAACTCTTAAAATGCTGATTTATTGATTAGTTTCTCTGTGCTGTTCTTTCCTTCTTCTTTCTATGAATAAGTAGGAGGAGTGGCAGAAATCTATTGCATCTTTCTCTAGAGCATATGCTAGTTTAGCCTGTGCATATAGAAAAGCATTAATACGCTTTCTTTCTTATGTGCTATGCTAGCTAACTCCAACAAATCTTCTAATGATAATATGCAGTATTATGCTGTTAGTCCAACAATAGTGTGGAGCATGATAAAGAGAGAGGAGAATGGCTTGTCCATCTTAGAGTTCTGCAGGTGTCTTGTAATAAACTTTTTGAACACTGCGGCTCTAAAACCAACATATACAAGAATTATGGCAATTTTACTCCAGAATCTAACGGCTTCTTCATTCTTTCCAATGGCAGAAAGCGTGGCGTGCGAAGAGCTTGAAAGCATTTTAGTTGCCGAGACCACAGCATCAATGATGTATGGGGTGGCGTGCTCCATGGATATTTTAGAAACATACGCGATCAAGAAGAACTGCAGCAAAAAGAATGTCTCGTAGGCAGCGGATCTAAAGATGTCGCTGTTTTTGCTAGTTTCAGAGGCCTCTGATGCGCCGGCTTTTTTTGATTTTGATGCTTTTGATGCTTTGCTGCTCTTTTTGTTGAGCACGTCTTTGGCTAGAGACTGTATCTTTAGCAAAACGCTCTCTATCATACTCATTATCATGATCAAAAATCTTTTTATAATTGACTGTGGCTCTGTGTGTGTTTTCTTCTGTTCAGTGCTAGCGTTCATTGTGTCTGCAAAAATTTTACTTAATTTAAATAGTTTGATTTTGCAGTGGCCAAAAGAAGTTGAAAGAGTTTTAATAAAATTTATCTCAGAATTTATTTAGTTGAAGGCATATAATACCTGCGCAGCAGAGTTTAAGTAGACATTTTGCTGTTTTTCTGCTTCAAAGCGATGGATCATAAATACTATATCAAGTACAACATGATAGAATCCTTTTTTAACGCTAAAGAAAGCAAGTAGAGCCAAGGAAGCAGTTGTCATCAGCAGAGCAGTGACTAAAAATATGCTGTATAGGAAGAGTGCAATGTTTGATCTAGCGGACCGTGTGTTTTTCTTTTGGCTCTTTTTCATTTTGAAAAGCTTGATAAGCTCGGCTGTGCAGAAAACTGGAATAAATAGGAGTATTGCGCCAGCAGAGACAATGGATATTGCTCTGGCATATGTGGTTGTGTAGTCTAATCTGGAGAATGCAAATGTGATCGTGTTGTACATCTGTCTGCTTATGAATAGAATGCTAAAAACAATAGTCATTATGGCAACAAAGGGGATGTCCATTTTAGGACGCTGCATGTGTCTTATGAAGAACTTGCTGAATATGTAGAATCTGAAAAAGGTGTATCCAAAGATCATAGCTATTCTGGTGTAGGCGCTGGCAGGAAACTCGTACTTTCCAAGCAAAGAGGTGCTAGAGTATGGCGGGTTTGAGAACACTCTGAGCGCTGGAATTATTGCTTCAACTATAAACGAAAAAGCTTGATCTAAAAAGGCCTTGAAAAAAGAGCCGATTAAGACAAATAGAACCCAAACAAAAAACTCATAGGCAATGGATTTAAAGATGCTGTATCTGTTAACAGCGGTTTCAGAAGCTTCTACTGGTTTATCTTTCTCGGATTTGGACTTTGCAGACTTGCCCTTTTTTGGCGCTGCACTGCTCTGTTTCTTTGATAAGTCTTTAACCAATGACTCTATCTTTAGATAAGAGCTTTCTATTCTGTCAACTGGCATGGTGAAAATTCTTTCTAGAATTGTGTTTGGCTCTGTGTGTGTTTTCTTCTGTTCAGTGCTAGCGTTCATTGTGACTGCAAAAATTTTACTTAATTTAAATAGTTTGATTTTTGTGTAGAAAAAGCTAAAATTTTTAGATCATATCTGATGTCTTTTGAAGTGTACAGATACTTTTTTGTCTCTCCAGAGAAAATAAGAGAATTTTTTAACTTTTCAAGTGTGCGCCAAAATCAAAGATATTTTAGACATCTATACTCCACAGAGCACAGCACACGCTACAAGTTATAAAAGATCCGTTCTTGCTACAAAGCGATGGAATATAACGTATATACTGCTCTGTGCACTAGAAGTGGCAAACAACAAGAGGTATATATGATCATCATCTATGCACAGCGCAGAATGAGTTCAGAGATAATGCGCTTTATTTATCTTAGAATTCTACACACAGATGGATTGCGAAGTATGAAAAGTTTCAATTGTTCAATAAATTACTATTGCTCAGAGCCAATGAAAAAGTTTGCACAGAGTGTTTAGGGATTGCGACATCCCAGGACTTTAAATAGTGAATTCTATTTTTGCAATTTAATTTTCAAGAATGGAGAATGAGGATGTTGATATTAAAAGTGAGCTAGAGAGGGGGCTTGGGCCAGAGTACATATCTTTTAAAAACACAGGATACTCTGAAGAGCCGTACATAGAGGGATGGGCGTCTGTTCAAATGGCCAACAGAATATTCGGGTACAGCGGGTGGTCATCGCAGATTTTATCGATAGAGCCAATCAGCATCGAGGAAATGCCAGAGGGAAAAGTGACAGTAACCGCCAAAGCACACGTAAAAATTATCTTGAAAGACGGCACATTTCGAGAAGACATTGGCTTTGGGCTCGCAGAGAGAATCAAAGGCATAGGAAAGGCGAAAAAGAATGCATACAAGTCCGCTGTTACAGACGCAATAAAAAGATCTCTCAAACAGTTTGGAAGAGCACTGGGATCGTGCTGCAATGACAAGAATTACATAAAGCACATCAAAAGAGTCAGAAAAATAGAAGTGGGAATCGATGACTCTTCGCTGATCAGGCCAAACAGCAAGCCGCGGACTATTCCCCGGGAGAGAATGGCAGCGCGCGAGGAGAATGCAAGAGTAAAAAAACAAAACATTGGAATAAGCTGCATAGAAGCAGAGAGCGCAAAAAATAATAGAAGCACAGTAGAGAGTAAAGTGGCAACTACAAAAAACAAAGAAAGCGAGCATGCCCAGCCACTAAGAAAAAATTCAGAAGGTTTCAACAACCACCCCCAAGATATCGAGCAAAATCTGTCATTTGATCAAAATCTTCAGGCCATTGATGATATCTCAACCGAGTAAATAAACACTGCGATTGTAAAAAATTGTTCACTCGAAAGTTTAGAAGAAGACTGAGTGAGTATTATTTATCTGTTATATATGAACAATAAATTTTAATTATAATTATGGCGAAAAAGAAAGGAGGAAAGAAAGCATGCGAGGACATGTATGAAATGTACGCAGAGATGGTTGAAGACCAGGTTTCTGAAGAGGTTTTTGAAGAGCCTGAGCCGGCGCCAGTGCAGGCCGTTGAAGCTCCGGCTGTTTCGGAACAGAAAGCAATTGCAAGCAAGCTGGAAAGACTGACGATGCAGCCGAAAGTTCAAAAGCCGAAGACAGAAATCAAAGTGGAAAAAACAAAAGAAATGGAAACTGACTACAGAAGCCCAATCTGCTGCATTCTCGGGCACGCAGACACAGGAAAAACAAAAATACTTGATAAGATAAGAGAGTCCGAGGTGCAGCTGTCAGAGGCAGGAGGCATAACGCAGCAGATCGGAGCAACGTACATCCCCATAGCAGAGCTGGAGAAGAAGTACAAGATAAAATCAGATAAGCTGCCAGGCATTCTGGTGATAGACACGCCGGGACACGAGGCCTTTTCGAATCTCAGATCGAGAGGGTCATCGATGTGCAATATTGTCGTGCTAGTGATAGATATTATGCACGGATTGGAGCTGCAGACAAAAGAAAGCATTGAGATTCTGAGAAGCAGAAAAACCCCGTTCATCATCGCGCTGAACAAAATAGACAGAATAGCAGGATGGAAATCAGGAGACACGCCGTTCTCCCTGAAAGACCAGAGCAAAGCTGCAAAGCTGGAGTTCAAGGATAGATACGAGAAGATCGTGCTGGATCTGGCAACCATTGGGCTTAATTCAGCAATCTTCCTAAAGAATCCAAACCCCAAGGCGTACGTGAATATCGTTCCTACATCAGCAGTGACGGGAGAAGGCATTTCAGACATGCTCTATGTTCTCCTGAATCTCGTAGAGACAAATCTCCTGAAAAGAGTCAAATTTGAAGAAACCGTGCAGTGCATGGTTCTTGAGTCAAGATCCGAAGAAGGAAAAGCTGCATCAATCGACGTGATTCTGTCCAATGGAATATTGTCGCTTGGAGACAGAATTGTAGTGTGCACGCAGAATGGAGCTGTAGACACGACAATCAAGCAGCTCCTTACGCCAAACCCCATGAAAGAGACAAGAGTTAAATCGAAGTACAAGGAGAATAAAAGCGTAAAGGCTGCCATTGGAGTGCGCATAGTAGCACCAAAGCTAGAAGGAGTGCTGGCAGGAAGCAAGCTATCCGTTGTTAAGGACGAGAGCGAGATAGAGGCGATGATAGAAGAGGCTGATGTGCAAATCAGAGAAACAATTCAGAACTTCATATCGGGAGACAAACAGACAACATCCGGGAGCATTTTTGACGTTGTGGGAGAAGATGGAATCCATGCGCAGGCAAGCACGCTGGGTGCCCTCGAGGCTCTGATATCGATCCTTAAAAAGGCGGATATCCCCATACGAACCGTTGGTGTAGGGAGCATATCCAAAAAAGACATTATGAAGGTTTCTACGATATCAGAAAGACACCCAGAATATGCGACCATGCTTTGCTTCGATGTGGTGCCATCGCACGAAATGCAGCTGGTGGGGAAAGAGCTGAAAGTTAAATTTTTAACGGCTGAAATCATTTACCACCTGACAGAGAAGTACAAAAAACACATGGAAGAGTTCTGGGAAATGGCAGAGGAGCATTTGAAAGATAAGATTGTTTTCCCGTGCATTTTAACAATAGTCCCGGGATGCGTGTTCACAAAGAGATCGCCGCTGGTGCTGGGGGTAAAGGTGCAGGAGGGCGTGCTGAGGCTGGGTACTCCTCTTATAGTAATGCGAGATGGCGAAATCACAAGAATAGGAAAAGTAACGAGTATATTAGAAGATGTGAAGACAAACCCAAAGAACGACAAGATAAAGGCGGGAGGAAAGGCGTCTATAAAAGTAGAAGTATCATCGACACAGCAGCCGATCATCGTGGGAAGGAAGCTCTTTGAGACAGACCAGATAATAAGCAGACTGACAAGAGAGTCTATAGACCTGCTGAAGGAAAACTTTAAAGACGCGCTGAGCAAAGACGACTGGATGGCCGTGATCAAAATCAAAAAGATTTTAGGTATTTTATAATTTTCAAACCTGCATAGAAATAAATATAAACACTTTAAGCCTCCGCTTTACATCTGCCAAAGAGCCAGAATGAAAAACATTCACTTTTATTTTCATGCACAGAAACAGAGCCAGAAAATATTTGCTAAGACCATAAGTCATATATTCTACTAGCAGAATCATTGAAAGATCTGTGCATTGATGCTCATCCATCAGAAAAAGAAGATAAATGAAATCTCTTGGATGAAACTCGTACATGCAATGAATAGATAAACTATGCGATCTTTCTGATTTACTAGTGCACTTACACGCTAAAAAGCTCGAGACCAAACAGAATTTCATTTAATTTTTTCTGCGCAGTCTGAAAATGTCAAGAGAAAAAGAAGTGTTCAGAGTTAAATTGTTGACACCCAATGCAACCTGTCCCAAAATATCAACGAGGCTAAGTGCAGGGTATGATTTGTACGCACAGGAGGATGGAAGTATAGAGGCAGGGCAGCGTAGGAAGGTTGATCTGGGATGCTCCATTGAAATACCAGAAGGATACTACGGACAGATATGCTCAAGATCAGGGCTATCGTTCAAGTACGGGATCATGACCATGGCTGGAGTGATTGACGCAGACTACAGGGGAGAGCTGAGTGTTTTATTGTACAACGGAGGAGACAGGGCATTTTCTTACGCAAAAGGAGACCGAATTGCGCAGATGGTAATAAACAAAATATTCACTGAGCAGCCCGTTGTTGTAGAGAGCATTAGCAGCACAGAAAGATCATCTGGCGGCTTTGGATCGACTGGAAATTAAAATAGAAATAAAAAGTATGCATTTCCTAAAGTAGAATACTGATCAGCTTACATTAAGACAATTCTTTTCAAAATATCTCTGCACACAAACACTACAGTTACTGCATTGAAGCATAAATATACTCTATTGGATGATCTATCAAGTTAGTCAGTTGTGCTGAGGTAAGAATGATAGTTCTAAGACTCTAGATAAAACAGGTATATCAGTTATACTATGGATAAAGTGCTAAACAAGAGAGATAGCACTCTAAATGAGTCTATTAACTTAGATTAGTATGTTTTCAACAGTGCTAATATTTTGATGGAATATTTGTAAGATCTGTCTATGCATATCAATAGATTGTTCATATTCTGCTGTTCTTTCGGTGTTTATGCTCTTTCTCAAGCCTATGCTTAGCTCTATGGAAAATACTTCATTGCAGTACCGCAGATTTAGACGCAAGTTTATAATTTCAAATATTTTATTACAAACATATTTATGAACACTTCTAGTAAAAGACTTAGCAAAGCACTTTCGCTTATTTCATCCTACCTCACTGTGCTGGTTATAGCCATCTCCATAAGCTCCTTTCTGATGAACAGAGAAAAAGGAAACTGCAGGCCTGTTTTACACTCAGCCACAGCATCATCCATTGTATTTACGCCAAACTTAGACCTCACAAGCAAAATGAACTACAATGTGAAAGAGGCATACATCTATCTGGTCCACAAAACAAACGTGAAGGGAATTGACGTAGAGAAGGTTGTGTGGAGCACGCTTGCAAAGACCAGCAAAACATACACGCTAAACCACAGAGAGTTTGGAAGCTCAGACGACTACACGCGCCCGCTGTTCCAGGGATCCTTCCATCTAAAGGGAACATACTTTCCGTACATAGGATTTATAAAAAATGTAACATTTGCAGAATTTTCATCACTGCGTTCATAATAAAGAATGGATTTATGCATTATAGGTAAGTTATTTTTGCGTCTAACAGAAAGGATTAGGAGGATTAGGATCAACAATTGTAAATCATTTGGCTTGTTCAAGCAGCATAGACATTCGAAGAATCTTTCTCATTGACATAGATAGAGTTGAGCTCTGCAACAGCTCAAATCAGCTCTATGCAGAGACAGATGTTGGAGAGTACAAAGTCAATGCAACAAAAAGAAGGCTTACAGAAGCAGGGTTCGCAGGAGAGATACACACACACATATTGGATATAAACAATCCAAAGGAAGAACTGGAGACACTTTTGTTTGAATGCGATGTGTACATCTCTGCACTGGACAGCTATCAGAGCAGAGTAAATTTCTACTACCACATTGTGCAGGAATCGAAGAACAGGAATTTGCTATACATTGACACGGGAACAGAACGGTTCAAAGGCCACTGCTTTTTTGTCAGAGGAAAGAAGCCTTGTATATACTGCATAAAGTGGCTGTTTCCTGCTCCAAAAAAAGTGCCTCCCATGTGCTCCATACGATCAGAAATCCCAGAAGAAGTGACAGAGGAAACTAAAGCTGCTTCAGTGATGAGCATTCTACAGAGATATTTGGAAGATGAAGATAGTGCATATGCAGAGACAGCAAAGGAGTACAATAGAAAGTACAAGCCAGAAATAGAAATAACGGAATTTGAGGTAAAAAAGATACAAGAGGGCGTGCAGCCGAACACTCCTGCAGTTTCGTTTATTATAGCAAATATAGTAAGTCTTGTTATCAGGAAAAGCCCAAAAGGAAACTTCATTTTTTATTCTGGTGACCGTGCTCCTGTATTTCAAATGCATCTTCTGTGTCCCGATCCGTCTTGCTTTCTTTGTTCTGAATAAACTCTGAGGACCTGCAGTTATTTACGTATATAGAGATTATTTCTTCTTCTAGCTTTAAAACATCTTGCTGCTCGTTGTCTATGATAATGCAATTCGTGCTCGTCTTTTCAGCTATTTTCAGAGCTATTTTTTCAACGGTTTTTATGATGATCTCCGATGAGAAGTGCTCTAAAAATGGATACGAAAGAGCGTCTGTCAGAACAATCCATGCAATGCTTCTTACCCTGGAGGAGTATCTTTTATTTGTGAGAGCAGCCCACAGTATCTCATGCAAATCCAAAAAGAAAAAGTTAAACTCAATCAGAGAACAAATGATTACTTCTGTTTGCAGAAGAGACTGAGAAGACGCCTCCCTGTACAGACTGTGCTCCGCGTGTGTGAACTGCATGATTATTTTTTCATTTGCAACTATTTTCCGCACTCCTTCGTTGTTCAGCGGGTATCCTTCTGCTATGTGTGCTTCTGCTATTATTTTGGAGATCTGCCGAGAAGACCCCGCTACTTTTTCTGCAATGTCTAGCAGTCCTACCAGCAGACAGCTAAGACTATCAAATCCCTGCACGTTTCCTCGCATGTACAGCGAATATACTATCTTGTAAAATATTTCAATCCCCACGGAAATGGTCCCCTGATTGTACAAAAAACTCTCTCCCTTTTTCTGTATCTCTCCAACGACAAATCGCACGTCTTTACTTCCGCTAATAGAAAACAACTCTTCTTTGCTGTGCATAAAAATAAAACCCAACTTATCTTTATTTTAACAATAAGATAGCATCCAATATTTTGGCACTCTTGTGGAGTCAAAACATTGCACTCTTCCATCTTATCTAGAGTCCATGCAATAATATCACGCATCATGGCTGCTAGCACCTGAAATAAAGAACCTTAAAACCGTTGAGGTGTAGAAACTCTACAAGCTACATCCTCCTTTGCAGTGCACCAGACTAATGAGCACTGCGCCTACGGCATAGCCAAAGAAAAGATAGAATATCTTGATTGGGTTTGTAAGAGAGTGCACAATTGGAGGAAGCATTTCCACAAGGACAATAAATGACAAACTGCCAAATGACAAACCTGAAAATATGTCTTTGAGCAGTTTGTTGTCAAACACACCGGAGATGTAGTACGCAAGAATCATTCCAAGGGGCGTGAGAAGCGAGTAGAACAAAAGAAGCCCCACAGAGATTCTCTTTTTAAACTGCGAAGAAAAAAGAGCAATTCCCACAGTGATGGACTCCAGTATTTTGTGGACCACAAGGCCCAAGAACATCGTAAGAGAATTCGTTTGTTTTGGCGTAAAAGCAAACCCTTCAAAGATAGAGTGAATTGAAAATATGAAAATAAAAATAAGCGCCTGCTTCACTGTTGTCTTGTACTTCAGTCCCTCGCTGCAGCACCCTTTAATTTCCAATGACTTATCTGCTGCTTCACTCTTTTCACTCTTGCTAACTGTTTCCATCACATGGTTATGGCTGTGTCCTGTATGACTTTCATGTGAGTGAGCATGAGAATGATCATGAGTATGAGAATGAGCATGTCCTTCATGGCTATGCGCGGGTTGCTCTAGTGATGTTGCTGCCACTATTTCCACGTCCTTTTCTTTGTCACAATGAGAATGTTTCAGAACTCTTTGGTCTACAATGATGAGAACAATGAGGGTCAATCCTCCCACTATAAGTGCTACCTGCAAATCATCGTGCCATGCATGTACGTGTGGCACTGCTGTATGCGAATGATCATGCGAGTGAGTGTGTCCTTTAGGGCCGTGTGTGTGGCTGTGTCCTTTAGAGCCGTGTGTGTGGCTGTGATCTGCTGCCTTGTGCACATGAATGTGTCCTCCTACTTTGTGCGTATGCGGGTGTCCTTCTGTCCCGTGAGAATGGGCTACTCCTGCACCATGGGAGTGCGAGTGTCCTCCCTCTACCAAATGCGGAATAAAATCAACGAATAAAATTGCCAGAAGTAACCCAGCTGAGACAATGCTTGCCTTGTTGTACATGCTCCTTAGCTTTCTTGATGAGAGCAGAATCGACGGAGAAAGGCTCGGAATGAAGGAGGAGACGAAAATAAGCAAAGGTCTCCAAATTCCATCCAATATGTCGCTGTAATTGGAAAACATAGCTTGCAAAAAATTTGCATTTATTTAAGATATCTACGCTTATGCTCCGTACTTCTCGATTGAGTGAGCAGCCAATATTACTGAAGTGATGAAAGAGTAGCCAATAAACATAGACGTGATCTTTTTGAAAGTCTTTCGACGAGTGAGCTTTCCTGATGAAGTTTCAAACTCGTTCCCTACCATCTCCACAAACCCAATGTAGAAGAAGCTGCCTGCTGCAATCCCATTCAGTATTAGCGTGATAATGCTGTTCTCTGAGTTAGTGAAGGAGAGCCAGTGCCCAAGGAGCGAGCCAATAGACGTGAGAGAGGAGTATATTAATATTAAAGAGAAACAGACGGGCCGAGAGAGCTCGGATGTAAGCACAGAAGTTCCCAGGACAATTGCCTCGAGCCACTTGTGCACTAGAATGCTTATGATGTACCACAGCAATTTGGGCCCTTTTTTGCTCGATATTCCGAGGCCCTCCATGAAAGAGTGCAGACTCAGCGCAAGGATGAAGATAAGTGCTTCTTTTTTCCCTGCGCCCTCGGGAATTGAGTCTTGTTCCTTGGCTTCAACTCTTTCGATGTACAGCTTGCTTATTGCGAAGAGCAGGAAAAAAGACAAGCCCGTTGTAACTACCGGGATGCTGCTGTTGCTGTCATAAATATCGGGAAGAACTTCTATTAAAATAATTCCTATAATGAATCCGCCTGTTAAGCATTTAATATACGTATATCCTTTCATGTACGGTTTGATCACGTTGTATGCATACGAAAAAAGCAAAGTGAAGACAAATAGAACTACGGCAGACGTAGCTACTATATTCGTGTCATTCATAGAGAATTTTGAAAATAAATTTGAAACTAAATTCTAATTTGCAAAACTAAATTTGAAATTTGGAGTAGAAAAACCCCGTGGAAACCATCCGCAGCACAATCACCATGCTGAGGGATGTTGTGTTGCTGCACAGGAGAAGAGTGGAGATCGCTTTTGAGGTCATGAGGAGAACAATAATGTTGCACATTTGGTAGTACACATGGCTGATGGAGGAGGTGGAGAAAGAGATAAAAATTTTTAGGACTGAGAAGGTGGACAGCGCAGTGGTGATGTACAGTGTTTTTTGGAAGCGCAGAAACCTCTGGAGGAGCGTAAACAGCAGAAGAAACTCCACAATCTGCGAGGCCATCGATCGAGACATATCTTTTATGCAGAATGCGCTCGTGCTCACTCTGTCCAGCGTATTTACAAGGATCAGAAAGAGCCTTAGGAGGAGCACATTCAGAGTGTTTGTGTAGGTCGCATTGAACACAAGGTGCGTGAATGCTTCTGGCTTGAAAAGCAGAAGATCCTTCAGAAGCTCTTTCTGGCAGATGGCATACACATCAGCCACCTTTTTGCACACGGGGCACAGTGCGTGTCTTACGCCTGTGCTGCCCTCTGATGTTTTCACGGTGTTTTCTACCGGCTCATTGCAGTGGATGCACTTCATGCACATTTTCATTATTTTTAGGGACTGTCCGAGTATATATGCGTATAATTAATTAAGCAATTTTTGCAATTAAAACATATTGGGAGATATATAATGATGGATACGCGGCAGTTACACAGAGAAGATAGGCACATTGAGTGAGCACTCTCTAAACAGTAGATTATGCTGTACATCTTTCGACTGTGTACTAGTTAGGGATAGTCTAGTGATAAAGAATTGAGTTATCAGATGATTGTATAGACAATAAAAGGATATAATGTATAGATATAGCAAATTAACCGTTCATTGTACTTATTTCTGCCTTTCTTATCCAAGTAATTTCTAAGTCCAGATAATTCTCTGATTTTTGGAGGAGCTGGAAGACCAATGGAGAATGCAAATTATTTTATATTATTTTCTTGAAGTACATTTTTTATTCTATGGTAGTTAAGTCGTATGGAGGCAGCAGAAAAAGAAGCAATTGCGCAACTATAGGCCTTGTTGCGCTTCTAGGGTATCTTTCATCTGTGGCTGAGCTTTGGCGAAAGAACGGAATTGCACACTTTTTTTGGATGGTTGTAAAAAAGCCTATTGATCTAATTGACATCCACTACGGGTTTCTATTTTTTACGGGAGTGCTGACGTATCTCCACTACATGCTCATCAGAAGCTGGACTAAGAATAGGATAAACAGGATAGGGATGCTCTTGTCTCTTTTCATGATCACGGGCGGAATGAACTGTCTGCACAAAGTTGTTCATGGCGGTGCAGCAGATCACCGGCACATGGCAGGAACTGTTTTTGTGCAAAGCGTTGTAGTCACTGCGTTCCTTTTCAAGGACATACTGAGCACAGACCTAAGCTACAGCTCAAAAGGAGTTGCAAGGTATCTTGCAGAAAAGATGCCCATCAACAACATAATGGCTATATTTTTTTTGTCGTTGGTGTCTGCATGGATTCTCACTTTCTTCCTCTCTTCGTATCTGAAAATTGTGGAGATCACGATAAGAAACACTCTGGACAGCATTTCAGTGTACATACTCCTATACCTGACGCACTACACATACATATACAACCTCAATCATTTCAGCTACGGAATTTCCATCTTGTCAGAAGAGAACAAAACACACAGCATAGAAAACTACATTGTTCTGACGAACTACGACGACAAACAAATTACAGAGAAAAATATAAAAGAAAAAAACAACGAAATATTGTATGCATACGCTCTAGATCTGTTCGCGGACATAGAAAATACGATCTGTGCTATTTCTAAGCAGCAGAAGATCAAGAACATCTTTACCTCATCAAAGACCGTGCGAAATATTCCGAAAATGCTTCTCTCAGAAAAAAAAGGAGCATTGCCTATTTTGAAAGACGACATTGCAGCGGGTCTGGCGTACAAACTGTACTTTTACATCTTCAGCACAACTTTATACAAAAGAGCCCTGCACGATGCAAAGAAGTCGCAGAAGATAATCAGTAGATTGCAGCGCACTATTTGGCAGATGGATTCTAGCTGCAGAAAGAAAATCATGCAGGGCATCGAAAATGTACGAAAAGAGCTCAGAGAGATAATTACATTTGAGACAGAAGAGCTTTTCAATATTCTCGGCATCTGGTCCTTCCACTTCACCACATAAATCCAGCTTATTTTGAACTGCGCCAATCTTTTATATTAAACAGATAGATAACGGCCGAACAGTTAGTTACTGGCATTGAAAACTTGAGAAAGACAGATCGTGTATAGATTCTAGAAACTAATAAAACGCTAAGCCATACTTCATTTATTTGTAACATTGCAGACACTCGTATTTTCTCTTGGCCCTCTTCTATCTCTTTTTTCTTATGGCTGATAAAACTTTTTCTGGGAGAACATCCATGTTTTCTATATCTGGAATGTAGTCTAAGTGGCCCAGATAGGGAACGCCAAGGTCTTCAGAGAGCAGCTGTCCTCCTCCTTTTGAGAACATAGCTATGCAGCTAGAACAGTTGGGGCACGTCATTGTTCGCATATTTTCTATAACGCCAACAATTTTCATTCTGCTATTTTGGAACATTTCTATGGAGTCTGCTGCCTCGTCAAGCGCCATGTTCTGAGAAGTTGTGACAATTAAAATTTCAGTGTTTGGCGCAGCTTCGCACAGGAAAACGTGTTCATCTGTAACACCTGGCGGCATGTCTATAACTACGTAGTCATACTCACTTGGATTGGCGCTTTCAAGAAACAGCTTAAGGAGGGATATCTTCTTAGGAGCCCGCCAGGCTACAGCAGAATCAGCGGGGATCATGGCAGCAATTGTCAGGTAGTAGAGGCCTTCTGTTTTTTGGATGGGCTGAAATCCTTTTTCTTTCATGAGAACTTTCTCTGATGTGTGCCCCATGAGAACACCGACACTGGGCCCGCATATATCAAAGTCGAGCAAAAGAGTTCTTCCTTCTTTTACAAGAGATCTGGCTAGGACGTAGGCAACGGTAGACTTTCCCACGCCGCCTTTACCGCTGGCGACAGCAATTATCTTCATATAAAAAAATTATCTATTGATCGTAGCAATTAGCCAAGTTTAGTTTAGTGCAGAAATTTCTTTCTAAAGCGTACGTATAATGCAAAAATTCTGGATAATTTATTGTAGAGTTTATGTAGAAATATTTATTTACATTTCAATTTCCTTGAAAAGAGTGTGCAGAGAAGAGGGGTGTGCTTTTTTATCAGGAGAAATGTGGATGCACATGGGCACTGTGACGCCTTCTGTTTTCTGTTTTTTGATGATCTCGATGTACGTCTTTTTCAAGCTTGCAATCAAAAAAGACCGGGTGTCCTTTTCGGGAAAGTGCAGAGTAGAGACCATATCGTAGATGCTGAGTATTGCTTTGTTCTTTTTGTCAGCGGACAGAGCCAAAACGCGCTGTGTCTCTTCTGCTAGGATCAGATCAGGCTCTTTTTTGTCGCATTTTTCAAAGAGAAGCCCAACAATTGCTTTTATTTCTTCTCCGTACTTCTTTAGCAGGTAGTGAAGATACTCTTCAAGATAGTGTTTTTTCATAAACGGCAGCGAAGAGTCTAGAACGGTAATGCAGTCCGCTTGTCTGAACAAAATAGCTATAGGACGGTCTTCTACTATCTCCAGCCTGAGAAACAAGCCGGGCTTATCTCCTGTGAAATACAGCATACTTCTGGAGAGAACTTTCAGAAGAAGCTGGCTGTTTACAGCAGCAGTGGAGCTCATCATCACAATGCCCTTGGGCTGTGTCTGTATCATGCTCATTTCTGTTGGGATCAGGTACTCTATCTTTTCTATTCCAATGGTTATGTCGACAGTTTCTTTTTTTCCGTTTTTATTTCTGATTCGTATGCCTGTGAGAGAGAGAATCGCTTTCTTGAAAAATATATTTGACGCTTGGATGATGCCCGTCACCACATCGCTTATCTGCACTCTGTCCAGCTCAATGCTATCGGTGTGTGCGATCAGCTCTTTTTTTCCTGTATCTATTTTAAAATAGCAGCTGCCAGCAATTTTATCTGGCACATCTACTAAAACGGTGCAGGATGCTTTTCTAAGCTGGTCAATGAAGTCGCGCAGATTCTCGCACTTCTCTTCTTTCTCCACAAAAGAGAAGTCTTTGTCTGTTTTTATGAGCGCCCATCTTTTCACTATTTTTCCCCTCTGCACCTGCACCGGAAAGATGCGAAGAGGGTACAAGAGGGTTTTTGCTGTTTCTGAAAGGGTTTTTAGTGAGACCAAAGAGAGCGTTTCAAACACCACCACAACTGTGTCCATGAAAAAACTAATAAAATATTTTTATTATAGAAAATAGCCAAACACTCTCCTGTTTTTTCATCTGTCCATTCTCCCATTTTGCACTTGCCTATCTCTCCTATCATTCTGTTAGAACATTAAGCTATGGCTCTAAACTATATGTACTTCACGAGTTGTTTGCACTGCTCTTCAATGAATTTAGTATGATGAAGTTATTTATTGTTCACTTAAGCATGGCTGTTCTGTACTTCTCGTAGAAGTGCGTGTGTGTTATCCCCACCAGGTCTTCTCGTGAGTGCTCCAGTATTTTGAGAAACTCCAAATAGTCGGAGTGTTCGCTATTTTCAACTTTGGCTGTTCCGCAGGGAAGCTCTCTTCCAGCGTAGAGAGCACCGTCTATCATTTTCTTTTCAGCGCTGAAGAGTGCGTAGACAGTGGCATCTTCGTGCTCTTCTACGCCAAAGGTATCTATGTTGTTGGACTTCAGGAGATCTATTATTTTCCTCTTTTGGAGGCCCAGCTCTTCTTTTGTGTAGTAGTCGCACTTGGGAATCACCACAAGAGTGTTGACTTTCGTGTTCATCATGCGAAGGAGCGTAATGTCGTGGTCTTTCATTCCCTTGTATGCAGGAGATGAGAACAGCACCATCAAGTGTATTCTCTTGTCTTCGAAGTGTGGGTCTCTTTCTATTTTTATTTCCTCCTGGAGAAAGCTTTTGTTTCCGTCTCTCACAAACACATCTATACTTGCAAACTTTTCTTGCATATCCTGCTCTCTGCCGTATCCCCTGCAGTCGTATATCTTTATTGCGCTGTTGTTTACTGATATCTGGTGCTCTGCCATCTCTCCTTCAGACTCTACCTCAGCTGCTGCGAGTGTTCTGACAAAAGAGGTCTTTCCTGAGTTGGAGGCTCCAACCAGCAACACATTGAGATTGCTGCTTCTTTTCATGTACTTCATCTTTGTTTACACAGAGTGCTTCTCTATTTATTTGCTTGGTGCTGTTTGTTTTTGTTTCATGTGTACCTTTTCACTATGGTGTAATGAACAATAATGATTTACTTTTAGTCATTTCGTAAATACTAGACAATATATTTATGAAACTGCATGCATCTTTGTCTTTTGCAGATAGTGGATGTAAATATGGTATAAATGAGCTAGTATCTGGCAGAAAGTTAAAAACATCTTAGATATGCTATGGCAGTGAATATATTGTAAAACAAGCTAAAATGACTTTGCTATAATACAAGTCAAGAAATATTAAGACAGAAATTGTAATATTTAGACTTAAGAATATTTTATTTTAAATACCATATAAAGTGCCAGCTAGTTTAAGACATCTTGAACTATTTATATTTCTTAGTTGGCGGCTCTCCTCTATAAGATTCTTGATCACTGTTCAATGCGTTGTCACTATTATCAATATCCATTGCTTCATTCTCTGAACGATGATTAAGATATGCTGCTGTTAGTCCTCCTATAGCCAAAAAGCCTCCAAACACATTTCTAATTAAACGTTCTCGGCGTAGGTCATCTGCTGAAGGAACATTTTTAGGCTCTTTTTTGGCTTCCACTAGCTCTACTACTTCTTCTAGTACTTCGAAATTCAATAATTCTCCAACTTCTTTTATCTTCTTGAGCAGATGCTTTTTCTGGTCTGGGCTCGTCTTAGATAAGAGTGTTATTTTATCTTTAAAATGTCTAATTTTCTCTTTCTGTTCGTTTGCTTTGTCATATTCACGGTCTAATACCCATAACTTCTTTTTCAGATTATTGATAAAAGAGTTTAATTCTTCTATCTCTTCGTTTTTCTCTTTTACTATTTCATCGTATGTCTCAGAGTCAAGCTTGCTCTTGTTCTCTTCCATCCAGCTTTGTAAATTCTTTGTTTTTTTACTGCACTCTTCAATTGCTATATCACGAGATCTTCTTCCCTCTTTCTTTTCTTTGAAATATTTATCTAGCATACCTAGTAATATTTTATACAAGCATATACTATTATTATTTGTATAGTCCTCATAAAAATTGCTCAAATCTGTTTTTAACCGCAGGATGTTTAGCCCAGTGTCGCTTTCTCTTAAGAGCAAGGTTTTAGTTGCTATGTATTCCAATGCATTGGTTATATAATCATATAAATTTTTCTCATATCCAATTTCCTCCATATTATTAAAAATAGAAATGACGATTTCTAGATCCTTCTGAGGAAATACCTTGTTAATTTCTCTTTTTATCTCTATTGGGTGTTTATAGCTGGCTTTCATTCCTCTAATTTTCTTGGTTAAAACTTCAATATCATAGCGCTTGTCAGAAATGAGCTTCAGCCCGTAGTCTACCAATGGCATATTGTTTTCATTTAGGCTGTATAAGTCATCTAAAGTGTAGACTTTTCTTAAAAATGCAAACTCTTTTAAATCATCGATTTTCACTTTATACAATAAAAATCCAACATTACTAAAATTATTTTTGTTGAGATTCTCTTCGGTAAGATGGAGTGTATTTTTCAGATTTGCATCATTGACCAGTATACTGCATATTCTGGCGCTTTTATCAGGATTTTCCTCATTAGGAAATGTAAGCTCTAGTGGCTCTTCTATACTTTTCTTTCTATAGATGCCGTGCTCTGTTCTGTATATATACGGTCTTGGTCTTGTAAACTGATTAATTAGACAGAAAGCATGTGATTCGATTTCTTTATGTTTTTTATCTCTTAATGCATCGCATAAAGACGACATAATTCGCTGATGATATCCGTTTTCTAAAGAGAATTGATACATATCATTCTTAATTATGCCTAAAATATCTTTCTTTTCCTCATCACTGTGCTCGCTTTCTATTTCTAGATTGTTGCCCTCAAATATATCTTTTAGTATGGCTAAATCTCTCACACTTTTACATTTTGCATCATAAAAATCTTCATCATACTTACTAGCAATAGATTGGGCTGCTTGTATCAGTCCTTCTACATTTATCTTCAATTTAACCTCTCTTCTGGCCATCCTGAAAATTTTATTGCAGAAAATAATTTAAAAGATCTAAGGATTTTCCAAAATAGAAAATTCTATCTTTTTAGCCCGTGCTTCATACTAAAGAGTGCCAATAATACAGCTATTTTAATAAATATTTTTTAGCAGTAAGAAGTATATAGAAGGTTAAAAATTAAACTCTAAAATAAGAATAGCATTGTATAAGTATGCTTACTGTTTTTGTTGTGAGAAATTTTGTTCTTTTTCTTTTATTTAAATTTCTTCTTTCTGCTTTCTTCAATGCTATGTCCTAATTTGTGACAATATTCACATGTCATGGCTATGTTTTATTCGTAGTTTCCTATTCCTATTGTTTCCGAATCTTGTTTGCTTGTCTAAGCTTAAACACATTCTCTTCAAGTTTTCCAATGCCAAAGTAAGACCTTTTTCTTCCTTCCAGATCAGCCTTATCTCTATAGGGTAATAACCGGGATTATCTTGCATTACTCGGGCTATCTTATCATAGTCATAACGCTGGGTAATAACCTTTTCATAGAAGAGGGCATACCAAATGAAGTGCTTCCCCGCCTTAAACTTTCCAAAAGGCTTTATTCCTTCAATCTTATATTTTGTGTGTAGATCGGATAATCGACATAATTCCTGTAGAAATTTCTTCCACTTTTCTTCTTCTGTGACTTCAGAATTATTATCGAGAGATATTCTCAAACTCTTGAGTTCTTGGTAGATAAGCTTTTCTAAAGGCTTGGTACGGTCTCGTAAACTAAGCATAATTAATCGAATTCTCTGCATGCATGATATGTTGTTACTCCAGTCTATAGTAAACTCTAATATTTCGAGATCCTTTTGGATTTCTTTCGAGCCTTTGTCTACACATATTGTATTTACTTCATCTAGATAGAACGTTAATCCACGCATCTCTGGATGGTAAGAACGATCTTCTTCGTGCTCTAGCTCTTTTTTCTTCGAAACCATAGAAAAACACTTGATAATTTATTAAATAAAAACTCTTCAAATAGTTTGCAGGATGCAACAATCAGTAATTCAGATCGGTCTATTATTTGTCAAACATAAACAAACAAATAGATAATAAATCATATTCCATTCAGAGTTATATTGGTGTTCCATATTACCTCGTACAGTCTCCGTGGTAATACATCCAGTATGGTTTTGCGCCACTAAACCAACAATGCACAAAAAATGCTTCTTTTTCTTTCGAACATAACATAAGACAATAAGAGAAAATAATAAATAACTGTTTTAATTAAGATTGTTAATAATGATGAGTCTTATGCAACAGGCTAGTCACTAGAGTATTGCACGTGCATCTCGTAAATGCCATAAAATTATTTATTATTTTGATTTAGCGATTGCAGCTTTTTCTTGTACTCTTCGATGCACTCGGGCACACTGGCCTTTCCTTTCTCAGAGACTTTCCAGCTAATGTTCAGTCCTTCTTTGTCCTCTTCATTGTACGGTATGATGTGGAAGTGCACGTGGTGTACTGACTGAATGTGTCCGTTGTTCTGGAGAATATTGTACTTATCCAGCCCTAGCTTCATTGCTACTTTTTTAATGTATGTTGCCACGCTCTGCAGCACTGTGTCAGGCACATCGCCCAGTCTGGGTGCGTGCTGTTTCGGGATAACTAGTAGGTGTCCTTTGCTTAGCGGATTGATATCAGCAATAACGAATGCCTCTTTGTTCTCGCAGAGAATAGTTCCCATTTCCTTATTGGCTATTTTGCAAAACAAGCAGCTGTCCATAAAGACAAAAAACTCAGCTCTTTTTATGGCAAGAAAAAAAGCGCAAAGAGTCAAACGAAAGATGCCCAGTTTGAAGGCCGAACGAAGGTTTTCCTGTCTGGAGTGCAACAGAGAGCACACGGTCATATGCACCATAGATAACACAAAGAACAAAGGAACCGCGAAGTGCACATTCTGTGAAGCCACGTATCAGTGTACCACAAACAGACTTTCACAGGCAATAGACGTGTATGCAGAGTGGGTTGACTATATGGAGAAGAAATCAGCAAACTAAGAACACATTGAATAAATACTGTTTAAATTCAGCTGCCTTTTGGCGCAGATCCTATCTGCTTCCGCACCCATTATTCTAGTTTTATGCAGCAGCAAAGTATTTTTTATGCAAAGAGAAGACGGGCGAAATAACTTGCAGCACAGAAGGATAGGCGTGGAAATAGATAGAGACGTGGTCTTTTCATTCGGGCTAACAAAGATACACACGATGCTCGATTACGCCTCCCAGCTGAAAAAAGGAGTAATTGCGAAAGTAATCATCGAAGAGAGCGCGCTGCCTCCGACTGTCTCCAAAGTAAGAAGAGAGAAGATGGTGGAAGAAATAGAAAAAACAGTGGAGAGCATCTTTGAGAATGCAATTTTAGACAAGGAGAACAGCTACACTGTTATTTGCCGCGTTCTGTGCGACAATGGATCGATGCTCTCTGCGATTATAAACAGCGTTTCTCTCGTGCTGCTGAGCTACAAAGTGTCGATTAGATATATGATATTCAGCGCAACTGTTGGGCTATCACTGCACAGACACTTGGAGTACATCGTCGATCTAATCGATGCAGAAGAAAGGTCGGATACTCCGTACATTACCCTTGCCATGCCGTACACCGATAGAGACAGACTGGTGTCGTACGGGTCGCTTTCCAGGCCGCTATCAGAGAAAGCTTTCCTTGACCTTATGGAGTACGCTACCGGTGTGCTGGTGGGCATTTCAGAGGAGATAATGGAAAAGACAAAGAGCCACAAAATATAAGAGAAAGTATTTATTTTGTCATCTTTTGTTTTTTTAGATGGAGCACACAGATGAAGAATTACTGTTCTCTGATGACGGAGACAAGTTTGCAGATAACGAAATTCACGTGAGAAAACAAAACAGAAAAGGGAGAAAATGGCTCACCACTGTTGAAAACATACCTGAATCATTCGATGTCACGCGGCTGCTGAACACTCTGAAAAAAGAGCTGTGCTGCAACGGGACAATAGTAACTGAGTCCAGCTCGGGAAAAAAAGTGCTGCAAATGCAGGGAGACCACGGAGTGAAAATACAGTCCAAGCTGCAGGAGCTCTTCCCCTCATACAAAGTTCATTTCTTTGGAAATTAGCCAGGGCTGATTGTGTCCTGGAGTGTAGTTAGAAGAGGCTAGCAGCTGTCTATGCCTGGGTTCAGAAGAGTTTAGACTGAACAGACACTCGTGGGTGTAGAGTATTATTGGTACAGCAGAGCACTCTTTTAATTGACTATAATTAGTATTATTTACAACAGAATAAATAACAATTTTCTATAGAGAAAAGTTTTACAACTATTTGCCACAAAGAGTATTCAGCAGCCAAGAACACTAGAACTGTGCGAGTTCTTAAAGATAGTTTACCCTTTTGACCTCTTCTTGTGCAAAAAAAGAGCATCTCATTTTGTGGCTAACTGTGAAATTTTCATTTTATTTTCTTGCTTGAGAGCATAGAGGTAGCTGAGCTTCGAATGGATGTGCGCAGTGCTCTAACTATTTTTCTTTGAAGAATATCTGCTAAAATCCAAGACTTTTAAGAGATTTCATCTCTTCGCTAGAAAAGATTAATCTGCGATCTGCACATTGCCGGTTCGAATTAATAATTCCAATCATGATTTAATTTCAATTTCCAGAAAGTATTGTGATTTAGATTCTAGATAGTAATATAAATGCAGCAATCAAAAAAAACAACTAATGTCCGCTCACTACACACCAGAAATAAAACACTACTTTGGCAAAAACAAAGAAGAAAGGAAGGCCTTCTACTGCCACCCAAACCTGAGCCTGTTTGAGCACTACACTGCATTTCAGAGCATGCCCAGAGATAGAGCCGACATATTAAAACTTCTTGAAAAATACTTTAAGCAAAAGTTCGCTTACAGGACAGATGCACTAGAAGAGAAGATGGGCATTTTCCAGATAGTGGAAGCAGAGTGGTACGAGATCGATGAGACAGAGTATCTAAAAAGAGTGCAGCTAAAAACAGCAAAGTTTCCTGTGCTCAACGAGCAAAAGCTAGGCTACTACGACAAGTGGCAATTCAACTTTATACAGCAGCTGCTGAACAACCAAGTTTCAGAGGAGAACCATCTTACTATCCTAAGACAAGTGACATCTTTCAAGCTGTTCAGCCTGTGCGAAAAAGAAGAGTCCTTGGCAAAGGCTCTCAGACTGCTGAAAACGCATGCAAGTTTTAAAAACGGTGTGCACACCGTAACGGGAATAAAACAGGATGAGTTTCTTTTTTTTAAAGACTACATTCACGCTGCAGGAGAGAGTGCTAGCAGCATGGCAAGTATTGGGATCATTCCCGCTGAGATAGTGAAACAGCACACGCAGACTCTGATTGAGAATGGCCTGGGTGTGTCCACTCGGCGGTGGATACATATGAAGTCTAGCCATGGTATGTCCTGGAAAGACATTGTAGATTACATCAATCTAAAGGAGCACTCAATAGCAGCAACTCTCATACAGGAACAAGAGTGCAAATCCAAACAGCAAAAAAATGTGCATCCAATCTCATCTTCTGCAGTCGAACAATCCGAGAATCCATCGAGTGAGCTGTACTGCACACACCACAGAGTAAGCACCCACGCAACGAAAGACTGCTTTGCTCTCCAGGGCAGAAAAGCGCACAGTGCAGAAAGCTCTCCAACGCTAATGAACAGTTTGCTGAGTGAAGGAAATTTCAAAAAAAACAGTAAACACTGTCTGAGTCTTAAGCTGTGCAGTGAAAGCATAAATGCGTTTAGCCTGGACTCCAAAATACCAGTGGCCAAGGGAAGGATCAACGGGATACACTCAATTTTTGTTCTAAATGCAGGATCTGATGCAAATATAATCACTACGGCAGCACAGAGAAATTTTAGTCTGCAGGACATATACGAAAAAGAAGAGAAGATTCTGCTTTACACAGTAGAGCGCTCTCTTAGGGTGAGTGCGCGGTATATCCAGGCAACTGTGCAACTTGATATTTCTCCCCAAAGCTCTTCAGTGGAAAGATTTCTGCTCTTCCCAAACAAAGACTGTATGATTGTGCTGGGCATGCCGTGGATTAAAGAGAACTACGCTGCGTATCTACTCCATCTGATCCCATCGAATAAAATAGCTGAAATAGTTTCAGAGCTGAAAAAGAGGTATGAAAACGGCAGCAACGATAAAGAAGCTGCACAGAGCCAGGAAGATAAGTCTCTTTTTTCACTGTAAAAGTGATGTAGACATATTTCAGGTACAAAACTGTGATTTAAGCAAAGTAAATACTTTGCAACCCGAATGCAGCATTGCGCAGATCTACATGCACTGAAAAAACACTCACTACATCTGAAGAATAGAACAGTACACTGCTACGCCAAGCTCTCTTGCAGAATAATCCTGCACAGACTGTCTGCTCACCGTCACTATACAATTTATTTATGAGCTACCACTGTCTCTATGCCATTTTATCCTTTTTATCAAAATAAAGTGTGAAACTGCGATAGGCCATTTAAATTTTTGCTTGAATTGTATTCTTCTTTAAGAAAATTCGTTTGTGCATAAACTCAGCTGAACTTGCATAAATAAAATGCATTGAATTTTCTTAATTTTAGTTTGCATGGATGATAATGAGAACACTGCGAATAATACGGGAAAAGAGACACAGGAAATACTAGAAGAGCTGGAAAGAGCCTGGGAGGTAGACTTCCAGGCAAACGAAGCAGGAAAGCCTGCCTTAGAGAAGCTAAACACTGTAGACTCTGTCTATGGCAAACTGCTAAAAAGAAAAAATCAGCAGGAGCTTCTCGATTCAGGAGTGCTATCTTCTCTGAAGAAGTGGCTGGAGCCTCTCCCCGATAAATCCCTCCCGCACGAAGACGTAAAAAAAAGCGTTTTTGAAATACTGCTGCATCTGACACCAGAGGTAGAGCATCTGCAGGAAAGCGGGATAGGGAAAATAGTTCTCTTCTACTCAAAGAACCCATACGAGAAGAAGCCAATAAAGAGACTGGCGCGGCAGCTAATCCTCAAATGGATCGAAATTGCAACAGAAGAAGAGTCTGGAGTGCACTAACCCTATAATTTATAAAATACAAACCCACTGTTACTCTCATTCTTTTTTATTAGAAAGCCCAATGCTAATTATTGCTAGACTGCTATGCAGTAATTTTAGCAAATTTTATATTCTCGAGCTGTATTTAGTCCGCAGTGCTAATTATGTTCCAGAGAGGCAAAAGACTGGCAGATGCTCTGAAGTATATATCCCCTCTAATCAAATATTACGGGTGACTAAACTTGTGTGCTGTTGGTGTAGTCGGTTATCACGTTCGCCTAACACGCGAAAGGTCCCCGGTTCGATTCCGGGACAGCACATATCTTTTTACTGTCTGCTGCCCTCTGCTTTACCTTCTAATGATGCTGCCTGAGTAGATCAGAGATAATTGCGATGCTATTTTGCTATTTGTTTGTTAATGAAGGATTCTCTTAATGTGC